TCTTACCTCGTCACCCTGGGCTGGGAAATAGTCATCTAGAAATAACTATTTGATTAAGAAATTAGTGCTCAAGGATTCTCATAACTGGTTATCTCTTAGATGTTAGAGTAAAAGGCAGAATGGGTTTTACTTAGAAATTTAGTGCACTTTATTTTTTCATTTCATGTTGTGGTTTCCTAGAACAAATAACCATTTTGTTTTATTCCTGGAGAAATAATCCATGACACATGAGCTTTTATCACAAAGTAAAAATGTCAAACTTTATCTTTGGAACAAAATAAATAGTTGATTCTTGCCTTTTGTCATTTATTGTAAAATCTGTCATCTGTGTAAAATCTTGGTGTGCATCCCACTCCCAGTCTTCTTGATGTTTAGAACAGGTGAGTAATTGATTTCCAAGCTTGGTGTATTCCCTCCGTAGATCATTTGCATTCTTACATTTTAATACTGAAAGAAATCCTAGAAACTGAACCTCACAAGTTGTAGACTTTGCCTAGATAAACATCTGCTGTTTAATGGTGTTTTGAAGGGCAGAGCTACCATATAAATAGTCTTTATTCTTTTCTTTCTTATAACTGAGTGGGTGGGGAAATGGGAAAGCACTGCGAAGAAGCAGTCATCTGACCCCCGCTCATCCTGCAGAGCTGGAATTCCCATGCCACGCAAGCCTCCCTGGGGCAGGTACCATGAGAACCCAAAAGAGAAGAGATTGAGCAGCATTTGAGAAACTCGAAACCCTGCGGGATGTGAGGGAGCACAGAGCAGCGGGAGGGTTTCTCCAGTGGCTGCCCACGCGCTCTCCAACGCTTTCCTCGTCCGGGTCTTCAAATGCTGCGTCTGCGTTTTGTTTGTTACTCCTCTCCTGGGAACCATGTATTGGTCATTTCATAAATAACACAAATGCAATAAGTGTTTACAGAATTAAATTTATCGGTCATTTATTCATTTAACCAGTAATTCCTGAGCACTCAGTGTAGACTATGGCCTGGGAATATGACGGTGAGCAAGAGGCTTGCCTTTTCGAGTCTCTTTCTAGTCTTCCAATAATGTCAGGGGAAAAGGTTTGGTCTGATGCTAATGTATCTTTAACGTCTCTCCAAAGCATGCTAATTTCCATTTTTTGTTAAACAAGAACACGCTTCATAACTCAGTGTCTTCAGTAGGCAATGGTATCTTGCGTTGTTGTATCGCTGTTGTATTCTTATTGTTACTTCTATTGTTACTTTCAAGGCTTTTTTTTTTTTTGAGTCACAGTATCGGCGCTTACGGAGCTCGCACGCTGCTTGCAGCACTGAACACTGGAAGGGACACGTGGCAGATTGCAATGACGCCTGTGCCCGGGGAAGGCTCGTGGAGGGGGTGGCGGTCGAGCTGAGTCCTGAAGGGTGAGAACAGGCGTGTGGAGGAGCTGGGGAGGAAGTGCCAGGCAGAGCTCAGCAAGGGCACAGGCCTGCGGGGGAAGGGCAGGGGACCGAAGTGACTGCAGGGTGGCGGGTAAGAGAGCAAAGATGTGGGGTCGGGACCAGATCAGACCAAATTTCCAAAAGGAAACGTGGTTTGTTCCTAAGAAAAGTACCCCAAATCACACTTCTACCCTTCCGTGAGAAGGGCTGAGTGAGGCCCCCAGATCCCTTCCTCTGTGTGGGTGGGTGCTGCTGGCACATTGGTGCGTGGAAAGGTTAAGTAAGTAAGTAACCTGCCCAAGGAGCACCAGTGTCCACGGGTGCCCTTTTCCCACCCCAGCTCTTGGGGTAGCAGGGAGGGAGACCCAAGGCCTGCTGGTCAGGCCAGGACTCGGCCTGGGAGAAAGAGATCTTGCTTTACTCACTTTTCTCCTAACTTCAACGTGTGAGACTCTTCCTGGTCAACCCCGACCTGCCTGAGACGTCTTTGACCGCAGGTACCCGGCTTCACCAGGAGAAGACTTTGGGTTTATGGGACCAGCAAGCTCACGCCACCAAAAAGCCCCGGGAAATGACGGGTCCCCACTGCGCTGGATAACCTGGCAGTCTGCAATCCCAGGGCCTCAACTCCCTCCCTCCGCACAGAGGCCGCGCTGGATAACCGTGCGGGCAGCGTGAGAAGACACCCTGAGCCGTCAACTCCTCGCTCTACCGGCCCACGGCCGAGAGACGGCAGACGACGTCTTCAGAAAATGAAAAGCGCGGGGTGTGAACTAGACCAGGGGCGGCAAATTTTCCTTACAGATAGTAAACATTTTAGGCTTTATGGGCCACAGACAGTCTCTAACACATTCTTCTTTGTTTTTATTTAATTTTTAACAATCTTTTAAAAAGTCAAAAGCTATTCTTAGCTTGCAGACCTTATCTGAATCTGGGAAGTGGGTTATAGTTTGTTGAGCCATAATCTAGATTTTGCTCTGGCAAACTTCCCTCTATTTCCTTCTTCCATTCAGGAAAGGTAAGTCTGGGGAGGCCAACTAATCTCCCCAAAGGCCATGTGGCCAACAAGTGGCAGGCCCAGGGTTTGAGCCCAGACAGTCTGATTCCAGAGTCACTGGTCTTAACCACTACACTATACTGTCCCCTACTAGTAACTAGGACCGTGGCTTTGGACAATTCCATTTCTCTTTTTGGGTACAGCCCTCATCTGTACAATAAGGGGGTAGTGTGATGTTTTCTTCAATGTGAGAGACGTACTTGATGGTAAGTGAAATAATTTCCACGGTTCACACGCTGAGCATTAATTAATATTGATGTACAGAATGGGAAGTTGATTGCCTTTTCAAGTCTGTTTCTAGTCTTCCAATAATGTCAGGGGAAAAGGTTTAGTCTGATGCTAATATATCTTTAACGTCTCTCCAAAGCATGCTAATTTCCATTTTTTGTTAAACAAGAACAGGTTTCATAACTCAGTGTCTTCAGTAGGCAATGATATCTTGCATTGTAGTATCACTGTTGTATTCTTATTGTTACTTCTATTGTTACTTTCATGGCTTTATTTTTTTATGCTTATTTTCTATTTATGCAAAATGTTAGTGTTGCCATTGCTGTAATTCTTTTGTCCATTTCTTCATAGTTATAAGATTGCTGCTGGAGCTCCTGCCCTCACACCCAAATTAGAATAAGGGAGAAAGGTAGGTTTCAGCCACTTTTGTCTCCTATTACCAGGAAAGCAAAAGAATTCTACACATAATTTGCATTGATCAAAACTGGCTACCTGTAGCAGCAACCGAGGCTGAAAAAGTGGGTGTTTGGCTGGGTACATTGACAGCCCAAATTAATCAGTGTTCTATAATCAAGAAAAAGGCATAGATGCTGAGCTCCGTAACAATAGTGTTTGCCAAGGCCAGAAGGCCTTTGAGCTTTCTCCTTAGCGTCTGCAAAGGGCAGGCATGGAAGTCAGAGCTGTGGAATGATTGGGGGAATTCAGTAAAAAGGCTATTTCTCTTTCCCTTGTTGGCTACTAAGACATGCCCCTTCCCCACGGTGCAGCAGAACACAGACAAAACATCTTCACTCATAAGGAACCACGTGCGATGGGAGAAACGTCGCCCGCACACTCTTACGTAGTGTCAAGGAAATCTTATGAGTTTGCCCCCATTGGCTACTATGCCTCAAAGTGCTAAGCTAAAGAACTGCCCCCTTTTCAGTCTACTGCCTGGAAGATATCTTTTCTTACCTGCACACGCCTCTAAATATGTACCCAAGAAACTGGACTTGGAATCTTATAAGATCCCAGAAATAGGAAGTTTCTATTTCAAGAACTGCTTTTCAAATTAATGTTTTACTTCAACAAGCATTTAGTGATAGCCACAATTCTCGAATTTTCTACATGCTGAGAATATAGGGGGGACTAGACTCACACGGCCCTGGAGCACACATTCTGGTGGGAACGGCAGATAAGAACTCAGAGACGCAGGCGCACAGGAGGGGTAAGAGCGGAACTGGGGAGCCAGACTTTTTGGCTGCAGTATAGATTCTGCAGCTTCCTGGCAAATTACTTACCCCTGTGCCTCAGTTTCTCCAGCTATAAAATAATAAGGATAATTATAGTATTCACCTCAGAGGGCTACAGCGAGACTGCTTTCTGGCTCTCCATGACGAACGTGGCCACAGTAAAGGGCCAGGAAGCTAAGATGTAGCAGACGGTGCTTTAAAAGGTAAAAATGCGGATGACAAATTAGTACCACCTCAACTGGTGGCTGACTGTATCGTAAGGCTTAATCCACATAAAGTGCTTAGAAGTATGTAGTAAGTGCTCAATAAATGTTAGCTATTATCCTATCTCAAGTACCAGGTTTTTACCTGATTTTACAGTGCTATATAAAGTCTCTTAAGATACTAAGGAATCCTCAAGGCCAATTCTAACAAGCGTGTTGCTGCATTCTTGTGCTTCTAGTTGAAGATTCGCTCTTCCAGACACTTGCACAAAGGAATATGTCTCAGGTGCATTTGCACGAGGCGGGGAATCTGGTCCTAGGCGTGACAGACATTATGATCTGGGAATAAAGCACAGTAAGACTGAGGTTGCAATTGCTACAGAAAAACCCCAGCAGACAGAGAGGTGTCCTGCGATATCACTCATCTCGCTTCCTCCCTCCCTCCTCCCTCCCCCAGGGCTCCCCTGCATCAGAACGCCCGAGACTGGCTATTATATCAGCATTTCCAATAATGTAAAAAGGGAAAATACAGACCTGGGCTTTCATGGAAAGTATTCTAACCCTCGCAACTGGAATCCCTGCCTTAAAAAAAAAATTATGGTTTTTAGATCTTTAACTTTTCCTTCAGCATTTCGGTACCCGACTTGTTGAAGAGCATCTCTTCTGGGGAATGATATTTCCTGGCACAACATAGTCTTCGTCAAGTGACTCAGTTTGATTTTTTGTTTTTCAATATCAAGTGGCCCCAACTTACAGAGAAAAAGTGGGCCCTTGGTATCAGTTTGATGTCAGGGTTTTTCCATGTTTGAAAGGGAGCTTTAAATATGACCAGATTTGAAGGCATCTGCAGGCCGAGCTCCACTCGTCCCCCGTCAAGATGCTCCTGGCTGCAGTCCTCGCCTCTGCCCTGCTCCTCTGCTCCGTGGATGGCCAGAGGTGCTCAACCCTGACGGGGATTCTGGACGTCAACTTCCTCATCGGCAAGCTGCAGGTAGGCTGCACGGGGTGCTGCGGTGCCGGTGGGAAAGAGAGCCACTGACAACTTAAGTGAGCTATATATAGGAGGATGAAAAACACACCACTCATTATGGGTTCTTGCCTCTCTACCTGCTTTAGAAAGACCCACCTTCAAAATGCAACTGCAGCGCCAACGTGAGTGAATGCTCTTTTAAGAACTTTCTGAACTAATTTTAATTTTCACGTCTGGAATCTCACTCTAAAATTTCTCTTTTGCAGGTGACCAGTTGTTTGTGTCTGCCCATCCCTTCTGTAAGTATAGTGACAGATGTAATCTTGATCCTTTTTTTCGTTTTTAAGTAATAATAAACTGATTTATTTGATATTTAAAATTAGAAATCATTACTTAATTGCAATTATTACAGATTGGAATTTGCTTTTAAAACCAGGCTCTTGCAATTCTGTACTATATAAATTTCTTCGTATTTAGTTAGCTTTATGTCCCTTGGGAAGTTTGAACACCTTTCAATATTTAAAAAAGAATCTCGAGTATCTTTTTAGGTGAGTGGCCGTGTGCACAATTAAATCAAACCAGAACTAAGAGTATAGTCACTGAAGTAGCTCCTGTCATAGTGCTTTCTAACTCATTTGCCAATGACTCTAGGGTTGTGAAGCAATGTAAATAAAGTGACGCTTTATCTTTCATCTTGCATAAACTATCCGTGTGCTCTACCTCCTCCTTCCTTCCCTCCCTCCCTCTGTCCCTCCCTCCCTGGCGTCTGCCTAGCTGACTAGGGCGGCTGCTGCATGGTTTGAATGCTGCACTCTGGGCAGATAGATTGCCTAAAGTTGTGGGTGCAGAGAGAGCTCCAAGGGGGCTGCTGCCCACTCTGGCAGGAAAGAAGGGTGGCGGTAATGCTCTGATTCCTAATGCAAACTCCTGGTTATGGCGAGGAGGAAGTGCTTATTCAAGGCACACACAGTGTGCAATGTTTTGCTCTCAAGCCATGCCTGGGAGAATCTGAGCCTCTCACTCCAGTGAAGGTGAGATATTACACTCGTGGCAGTGCGGCACTGGGTGAGAAGAGGCGAGGGAGCCTTCTGGAGAGGAAGCACACGCACCGTGCACGCCAGCCCAGCATCTGCCCGCCCCCGCCCGGTTTGCAGTCCCTATTCTAGCCGCTGTAACCGGCACAGCCCACCAGAAAGGCTTTTCTTTCTCTGTATTTCCGCACTCGCTCTTACAAGACCTGGAGCCAGGGAGTGTTGTTTGCACAGGAGACTTAGAGCTGGCCGTTCTCCAGGGCCCACAGGCCTCGTGCTTCCTGGATGGAACACACTGGAAATCTCCTCCAGGGACTGTCCCTGTGAGAAAGTGGGCTTCACCTTGAAAAACTGATTATTTTCTAGACTGGCAAGGAATGTATCTGAACATAACGCAAGTTCGGGATACATTGGTTAAATTAAAATAGTCTCTATAGAACGCTCTTAGTGATCTATTCTCAAAACTGTCCTTGGAGTGTTTCTTTCAATAAATCCTTATGATTTACCAGGATGACTGCATCGGACCATGCTTCCGAGAGGGGCTGTCACAGCTGACCAACACCACGGTGCAAACAAGACACCCACTGGTTTTCAGTCGGGTGAGAAAAACAGTTGAAGTCCTAAAGAACAACAAGTGCCCAGTGAGTTGGTTTTTCTGTGTGACATGTTCTGTGATGTCTACGGGGATGCTGATGCTAACCCTGCTTGAGTAAGAAAGGATGATAAAGTTGGACTTGATAGTTCAAGGTCGATAAGGGGCATCAAAGAAACTCAATCAGAAACAATAGAATTTAAGTGAGATACACAGATAGGGCCATTTACATCTTTCTGAGTAACGAAAGAATCCATTCTGATTGTAATTAGGAGCTACAATCTTGAGAATCAGGGCTGTAGCTCACCGTAACGCTAAATTATCCTAGAGATTCAATTTGCTAACCCAGTGGATCTGTGGCCTTTTAGTTAAAGGAGACTTTCTTTAGTTGGTTAAGGAGGTGCTGAAAGGCAATGTGCCAGGCAAGGTGCAAGCTTGCCACAGGCCTTCAGCGCCCCTCGGCACATAATCTTCTTCCGCAAGCACCCTGTCCCCTGGAGGTAAGGGGCGGAGGGCGTGATGAGAGGGGGTGGGGTGCCCTCCCTGCCAGCCTTGGGAATTAGCGTCTCCACCGAGATCTTGGAGGGGTGAAAGCCCGGACCTCAGCTATTTAGCTGCTATGTTTCCACCGTCAACGGCATTCAGTTCTCAGCCCTTCATACAGAGCTTTTCATTGAACCTTAGGGACAATTATTAGATTCATTACTTTAAAGAGGAGAAAACTGATGCTCGGTGAAGTTAACTTATTTGCCTAAGGCTACATATTTCATAAGTGGCAGAGTTGAGATTTGAACTTAGGTCTATGCGACTCCAATGTCCCACTCTTAGCCATTGTGCCATAAAATGACCTTGGAAGGACAACTTGGAAGGATAATGATACCATTTTATGCCTCAAAGAGTCCCCGGGAAAGGCTGTCTCTTACTGGAAATTTAGGGTCACTTGACAGGTGTCTAAGTGTTTGTGTGTGCGTGAACAGACCCCTGAACCCCCCATGATGCCAACCACCACTCACACTGTCCTTAGGCGCACAGTGTGAGAGAACCCGGATGTGCCTGCCTCTGCTCTATGTCTTGAGCCCCGCCCTGCCCATCCCCCACCTCCTTCCCCCTCTCCTCTGGGCAGGTGGTTCCTGGGGCTGCCGGGGTCCACACTGTTTGAGTCCCTCTGTCCTTGCCAACTTTTCTCCCCGCAGTTTTTTGCCTGTGAACAGCCGTGCAACCGAACCACAGCGGGCAACACGGTGACATTTCTGACGAGTCTCCTGGAAGTTTTCCAGAAGGAAAAGATGAGAGGGATGAAAGGAAAAGCATGAAGATAAAGTATTTTTTATTCTATTTATTGAATTTAAAAAGCTTTCTCTTTAAGCTGTTGTAATTAAAATATCAAGTAAGCTACTCTAAATTATAATTGGTTGTGATCATTTAAAATTGTATGTCTTTATTTTGGAGTAAATAAACATGGTGGAAAAAAGAGTACAAGCTGGTCTCCAGGTTTATTCATTCCTCGCTGTTCAGAACAAAGAAAGTCACAGACTTTGTCAAGGGGAAGAAGGAAACAAAGACACCCGTGGCAGTAACAAGAGTCCTGATCCCCAGTGTGGACTTGCAGGCTCATGAACTGTGGCTGCGGCCGCAGGGCCGCGATTGGGAAGGGTGCACGGGGGACAGTCTGAGGGTGCCACTAGGGGAGGCTGAGGCACGCCTGAGGGAGGCCGGCAGGGCGCTGCTGGGGGCCTGGGGGCCTGGGAAACTGAGAGTGCACCTGAAGCGGGAGAGGGCTGCAGCTGGGTGGGCCCAACAGGTGGGAGACCCTCGAGACTGTGGGCACGTTCTCACGGAAGAGAGCAAAGCGCTTCCAGCTGAGCCGGGAGAAGTGCCATGGAGCAGGCCCTCTGGGTCAGAGCACGAAGCAGAGAAACCCTGGGCCAGCTACTGTCCATTCACCTGAAATCCCTCCAGCGAGCCCCACCCCGTGCGGCCCACAGTGCCTGGCTGGGGACAGGGTCTGCAGGAGTGTCTCCCGAGGGATCCTTCAACTAGGCTGTCTGGCTGGCACAGTGTGGCTGTAGCTATTCCTCTCACCTGGATACTCAACCTTTTCCCAACCCCAGAACCCGATCCTGGCCTCAGTTCCCCAGTGCTTACCACCTTCTAAGGTGCGCTCTCCTTTATCCATTCATTATGTTATTGTTTACTGTCTGTCTCTCTCGCTCGCCAGGCAGAGATCTTTGTTTTGCCTCTGCTGTATCCCTAGTGCCTGCACTGGGCTAGCCTGGGGCAGGTGCTCTATCAACAGGGACCGAATGGATGACAGGCCTTTGAGACGCAAGAGCAAAGCACAAACTGAGTCTAGATTGGGAATGTGCATGCCTGGAGAAGAGACAGGACCCAGAACATACTACAGGTGCTCAGGGAGGTGACGTCCTTTCAAATGCCTCGAGGCAGGCCCCGGGCCAGGGTTCACACCGTGAGGTCACTTGAGAGGGGACAGACTGCCAGCAGCCATCCTGTTTGGCGTCCCTGGCCCCGTGAGAGGGGCAGGGTGGTCTGACAACCTCGCTGAAGGCGAGAGGGCTTGGGAAGAGCTTAGAGACATTTAAAGGATAAAGTCTACTTTATTCCTACTGGGAGCAATCTACCATGAAGGAGAATTTTTTTAGGTACTGTCAAAATTAGAATTGCTTCCCCTCCCTAGTAGGCTAGCCTATTCTTGGATAGTTTTTATCACAATAATGTAGAAAGTTCAGAGCAGCAAGAGACAGAGTCCCTCGAAGGGCTTTGCTCAGCTTTTATTCTCCACCAGTTGCAATGCCAGGCAGTACCTGGGTGTGATCCACCTGCCAACACTCCTTTGCCTAACTTAGGTTTTCTCATCATCTAATTAGCCCAGTCCCTGGTGTGTGTTGGGAGGGGGCGCTCCCTTAGCAATAAGGGTGGGCACAAGTTCGCCTCCTGCCTGCAGCCGGGTCCTTCCAGCACAGGGGTGATGGAGGAGTTTTAGCAAAGGGGGCTTGGGTCAGGGGAACGTCTTATTACCTTCCTGGGTGCAGAAATTATGGATTCATGGTGACATCCAAATACAATCTTTTTTAACCATATTGAGACAGAAAGAGACAAGTTTCTCAGTTCCTTATTTCTAGAGACACGTATATCAAAGAGCAACAAGCTGGATTTCAAAATCAGGATGCTTTCAGGAGGAGATCACCGGTGTTAACCTTTGTCCTCCCCCAGTGCTAAAGGCCAGCAAGCATCGCTGCTGGGACCGCAGACCTTAAGACCTATCGACAGCAGCCTCCGCCTGCTTCCCCAGAGGAGTGGAGAATGCTGTGTGGCAGTGGTGGCCGAGCGGGTGTGGGGCATGGGTGCTGTCGAGGCGGTTTTCTGAGGATGTCCCATAACAGGTGGGCATGGGAGTTCATGCTCCAACTGTTATGAGGAAGGAGTACATCCCAGCATCTCTCACATTATTTCTTCCTGGAGACTTAATGTTCAGGGTTCCCAGTGCTGGGGTCCTGCCTCTGTGCAGTGCACTGAATTCGGCGTCCCACGTGGCTGTCCTGCCTGGCTCCCTACCGGTCTGTGGGCCCCCAGGGACAAGGTGCCTCCTCCCCAGCACACACGCTCTGGGCGGGACACACAGCAGGTGCTGGGAAGAAGGTCTATCAAGTAATACATTTATTATTATTGATTAACATTAAGACTTGCTCTGTATGTGCTAGGCATGCAGTATCTCATTTAATCCCCTAATAATGGTAGGAAGTAGATATTATTATTACTTTTTGTTGGGTAGATGCAGAAACCAAAGTTTGCAAAGGCTGATTGACTTTCCCAAGCTCCCACAGCTGGTGGGACTTAGAGCAGGGATTCATCCCCAGCGCTCTCTGGTTCCAAACCCCTCGCTCTTAGCTTTCTGCCCTTTTCTTATTCTCTTTGCATCAGGTGTGCGCGTTGCACTTCCTCTGGCCACAGCCCGAGAGTAAAACAGGTTCACCACAATTCCAGTCCACACTCTCATATCCAGACACCTGGGAGTCAGATATATCTCAGAATTCAAGCTTTTTAGCCTTTTGGGAAAGTTAATACACAATTCATGTGCCATATATTATGTAACACCCACAGCAGGGCCTACAGCAAGATTCCACAACCAAACACATCAATAACCTGCAGAGAAACCCATGAGCATTCATACGCAGTGGTCAAGTTTTGCAGCCAAATGAGTCACAGCAAATCTTGAGTTTTCAGAGCTGGTTTGGATTTCAGAATCGTGATAAGGGGTTGGCGAGCTCTATTCACAAAACTGCCCTCCTCTAGCTCAAACCCACTTACAGAAGGGTCGGGGCGGGCACATTCTCTCCCAGACGCTTTCTCTGGGGCTGGGCTGGGTGTTTCCAGCAGGGACAGAGGCTTCTGGAGCTCCCTGGACAGCCAGCCACGTGGCATCCCAGGTCAGGGCTGCAGGGCCTTCTCTTCCCCCCTCCTCCCCCTGGGCCCTCTGAATGACTCGCCCCAGACACAGCTGCGCCACGTTACGCAATGTGGTTTACCACAGGTAGCGTCGGAAGACGCCCACCTCAGCAATGCTCACCCGGTAGGATCACAGCAGGGACAGAGGCTGGTGGCTGGTGACGGTTTCCGAACACAACCTGGAAATGCCGTCGGCTGCGAGGAAGTGTGCAGAGGTGCGCTGCGACTCGCTGCCGTGGGTTCACCCCCAGCCCAGCCTGGTGCTTCCGCTCAGCTTTTCTGCAGAAGTTGCCGAACCACAGGATCGGCCCCCGCGGGCAGGCTCCGAGGAGCGCTCACCTGTCGCGAGGTGTGCTGTAATTACTGTCCTCCCTGCCAGGAGAGTTGAGATTTATCCAGAAGCCACCTTGAAGAAAGGAGAAGAACTAACAATTATTGAGCGTTTACTGTGCACCAGGCACCCTGCTAAGCATATTCTGTAGAGTATCTTTTCAGAGCCTCAACAGCTCCATGAGGTATTGAAATAATTATTGTATAGAATTATTCTCACTGCACAAATGAGGAAACTGAGGCCCAAAGAGGTTGCACGACTTGCCCCAGGGTACACGGCTCACCCGTGGAAAGCTGCTGCCCTGTGCAGGCTGCCAGGCCCCAGGGACAGTTGTTTCCAGGAGACCGTAGACCAAAGCGCGCTGCTGCTGGCCAGAGCCGAGCCGGGTGCTGCGGCCTTAACCTTGGTCAGCCGCGTCTCCGCCCGTCCCTCCGTCTGCGCATGCGCGCGCCCTGCGTGGAGCAGGAAGAAGCCGCGAAGTCTCAACCCCACAATTCGTCTCCTCGCTCTGTCACGCTTCGCTGCGCTGCTGCCGTCATTGACCCCAGACCAAGACCTCCCTGCCTCCGCAAAGGGGGCCTCAGCAGAAATGAAAACGGATCCAAAGGGTTTCAGTCTTTATTTTTATTACTTTAAAAGGACGGCTTTATCGAGACGCGATTCATACTGTGTGCCACACAATTCACACCTTTAAAGTGCATATTCAGTGGGCTTTAGTATATTTGCATATTCAGTGGACTTTAGCGCACCCATTCCTCTCGGCTATACCTACGTACCTAGGAGTAGAATTGCTGGGTCATCTAGTAATTCTAAGTTTAGCTTTCTGAGAAAATGCTGAACCATTTTCCAAAATGGCTGCATCATTTTACGTTTTTACCAGCAATGTAGGAGGGTTCTGATTTCTTCACATCCTCCCCAACACTTATTACTGCCTTCCTCATGCTCCCCAGGAGGGTCAGACCCCTGGAGAGCTCGAACCAGTGACCCTGAGGCCTCCTGGGCACGAGAAGGGCCCGTCAGTGTCTGCACCACCCCACCAGGCGTGCTCACTGGACATCCACGCGGAGCTCCAAAGCCACGTGTCTGCAGCTCTCAGGGTTTCGCATGCAGAGACAAGGCCCAGGAACAGCCTGCAGCCACTGTATCCCCCTCCTGAATAAAGCAAACAGCCCAGACTCACAGAGGGGACGACAGGCAGAGAGCAGAAACCAGAAAGATCGCAGAGTGCCCCTGCCTTCCTCCCACCCCTGTGCATTGCACTTTGCAGTTTGCAAACCGCTTCTGCACTTGATTCTTACTGAAGCCGTGGAAGGGAGGTTAGGGAGGCCAGGATGGCTGTTCTGCAAGTGAGGAAACAGGCCCGGAGGGGGCAAAAGCTTGCCAAGATCATGCAGGTAGCCGGTGGCCGACCTGGGACGGGAACTCAAGGTGAAGGTCTCCCTAGTCTGAGTTTCTTTCCACCTCAGAGAAGGAAAAGGACAATGCCAAGGGAGATGGCAAGACCCAGAAAACAGGAAGAGAAATGTCACAGGCCCAGGTGCTCTTATCATGGGGCGGGGGTAGGGGTGGGGTCCTAAGGTCACGCACTACCAGAGCCCTGCAGAGGGTTTCCTTGGCCCCTGCTGCCCCCAAGTGGCGGTTCTGCAGCATATCAGCCAAGGGAGCCTTTCTCAGCCTTTGGGAGACAGATTTTTTTTGCAGGGCAGTTTTCAACGGGGCCCGTCAGGTGGAAACTATGGTCACATAACATTGAGGGTTATTTGCCCTTCTCACTCTCATTTTCTCACGAGTATCCAAGGGCGTTTTCCAAAGGCTGCGTGGCAGTGATGCCGCATACCTGCAGAAGCAGCAGGTGGGGGCGTTTAAGACAGAGTTAGAGAGCAGCAAAAATGGGAGACAATTGCAACTCTTCTCATTAATTATTTGTGTTTGACAAGAAGTTATTTTCATAGACTATGTTATTTATATTAACATGTAATTTGTTATATTTTAAATGAATAAATATTTTTTAAATTCTTAGTTTTAATTTCTGGTAAATGTTGGTAGATAAGCAAAAGTTCTTGGAGGCCCTTAATAATTTTTAGGAGTGAAAGGGCTGCTGTTGAAAACCACCGTAGAGTAATAGTTATTTTTTTCACCGTCCTCACTAAAGCCAACCGGCCAAGGCTGAAGCCCTTCAACTCCAGGACACAGACACCAAAATTGGTGCTTGGCTTGGAATTCTGTTCTGTTTTCAGCCTTTCTTAAAAATTGAGCTCCATTTGTTTAAAGACATTGCAGAAGATGACATAGACCTTGACGCCTGATGCCGAGCCTCCCGAGGGCAGCGTCCCTGTCACTGCCACCCAGGGCCCGCCCAGCACTGGCACAGCCAGACTCGGCACGTGTGTTTGTGGCTGAGTGAGAGGAAGCCCATGATGTGCGGATTGAGGAAAATCCTCAGGCTGTTGGCCCCAATTATTCCATAAGATTGGCTTCTCCGGAAAAATCTGAGAGGAAGCAGGGCCGAGCCCTCCCAGTTCTGGCCACCACGTGGGATTTGCCTGAGTTGGGGCGGAGTGTCTTCATTAAAGTCGAGCTTTGTCCATTTCCAGCCCAGGTGCTTTTGAGGGGAGTTGCTGCGGCAGCGTCTAACCAGCGTGGGGCTGGGCAAGGCAGGCGGGCGGGGGCAGACGAGGGGCTGTTACCAGAGCCTGGCGGAGGGCGGGCAGCAGGCAGAGGCGGGCAGCAGCCCCGACAGCAGGAGCCCAGCATGCAGCCCTAACTCTGCAAAACCGTGTGCTTTTATAAAAGCAATATATTCTCTGTAAAAACCTGAAACACTGTAGTGGTGCACAAAGACATCATCATCATTAAAGCAGAAATTGAAAGCCTTTCCCCAGTCCAGCATCCCAGCAATGGCCACTATTAAGTTCGGTGTGTACCCCGCCCAGACTCTTCATTGCCCATATAACTCAGCATATAGGATATGTGTTTAAAGAGAAAACAAATAACGTCATACATTTATTCTGCCACCTCATTTTTGCACTTACAATGTTGGGGACATAATATTCCCATGACAGTATATGTAAGATCTATCTCACTCTTTTTAGTGGCCGTTTGGTACTGGTCTAGAGTATGGGTGCACCTCAATATTTTTAACCCTCCGTTCTGTTGATGGGCATTTAGAAAGTTTCTAGATTTCCATTATTACAATCAATTCTCAATCAACACAGTGATGCTTCCATTTTGCCCGTAAATGTATGTTGCTTTATTCCTTTATTCCAGACACCGTCCCTGCTTGCTGCTGTGCAGAATCTGGAGACTGGGAATCTCTGCCCGGGGTCTCACAGGGCCCCGTGAGAAAGAGAGGCTGCACAGACACTGTGGCACTAGGGGGACACAGTGTCGCGGGGGTTGTGTGGGTGAAAGGGCTGTGGAAGTTGCTGGGGGAGAATCAAGGAAGCCCCAGGTTGCAGCGTCTGAGCCGGGCCTTGGGGAAGGGGGAGGGTTCCTGTTGCTGGAGATGGTGCGGGCGTCTAAAGAACAGCACAGGGCAGGAAGCCTGGGGGACGGTGGCAGACAGCAGCTGGCCCAGGGGTCAGGTTGTTGGATCCCTCGGTCATTCCTCCAGCAAACATTTGCATGCCCGTGAAGTGCCTGGAAGTGGGTGGGACGGGAAAATGGTTGGAGCACAGGGAGCCTGGAACTGAGAGCGATGGGAGGTGGGTCTGAAGGGCAGGTCTGATGTGGTTTATGGAAGGTTTTTGACTCCATACTTATGTGTCCCAACGAATTTCTCTTTTTCACAACATGAAATGGTCATCACCATGTCACAAAGCCACTGCTCAGGGTGGGAGAGGCTTTCTCTCCCCCATCACCCTTCTCAACCCCTACGTCCTCCCTGCCCACCTTCGGCATCTGGGAAAAAAGACACCAAACTGCCACTTTCAGTTCCTCCCCTGCGTGGAGTGGGTTTCTCTCTGGGCCGGTGATATCTGCAGGGACCTGAACAGAGAGAGCAGAGACGGTGGCCGGGTGCCTCTCGGCAGCCAGGCGGAGGCATCTGATACAGACTCAACCCGAAGAGGTTCTCAATACTTTTATTTGGAAACTTACAGCCAACTCCAGCTCCTCTGTGAATCCCCAGTGAGTTTACAGTGGCCATGGGGGCAGGGTCTATTTTGGCCCGTTTTTTTTACCAGGTGCTAGTCCAGAGCTGAAATAGATGGTGATCCATGGACCAACGGTCCTTCCCTCCGAGGCCGCAGCTGGGCGCCATAGCCGTGGAGACAGCGTGCTTGCACTTGTGAAGGGAGGAAGGGATTCCGATTCCGCGGGCAGCGCACTTGGCCGCAGGCCGGCCTGGCGCGGAGCCGAGGGGCCGAGAGTCCTTTCTGTTCATCGAATTCGCTACCACGGGTTCTGCAGACGCCCTCAGCACCGACCTGCAGTGGAATGAGGCCCTGGTCAGGTGACACTGGCCCTGGGATAAAGGAGGAAAAACAAGAACGTCATCTAACTGGAGTTACCGTCAGATCTTAGGGTCAAACAACCCATTTGGAGCTTGGTTTTTAGAAGCTCAGAGGGGAAAAGTACCACCACGAGCACAGGCTGGCTCTTAGTGAATGTTCCAAAAAGATACTGTAGGGAGAATGTGTCTTCTTTCCTTGAAGATGAATTTTCCTGAAATTGAAAGAAGGCGAATGGGGTTCAGAGTGTGCATGTTCGTATCGTCTGATTCTGGTTTCTCCGTGTGAACAGGTAAAACCAACCGTATCACAAAATAGCCACCTCGTGCAGTGTCTACTGGGCTTCGAGCTGTCCTCGGGTCATTCCTGCATGCAGTCTGGGTGAGAAATAGCTCAGAGGATGGATGAAAAGGAAGCGACCTTCCTGCCTGGGACTCTGGGAGCTGGAGGAGAGCTCTCCATCTGGTTGTCAGAAGGAACCTGGAGGCTACTTGGACGCTTCTAACCCCTGCAGGAACTCGGAAACAGCTCTCACGTTGTTCCTGCCACCTGTGCATAGGGACTCTTGAGACAGTCACCTTCCCACCACTTCTTAGGAGCTGTAGGGCTCCCTCTTTCTCTAATAGACACCATCTCACTCTGTCCTTGACGGGACAGTGAAGGCCTTGGTTTCCCCATCTTCAAATAGTGAGTGCTCCTGTGCTTAGAGCATGGCCTGCCCAAAATCTCAGAGTACTTAATAAATTAAGATGTAGGTCTTGTTAAAAGGCCGTGGTGTTCTTGGGTCGGAGCAAGAAGCTGAATGGCCTGGGCGAGGATTCTATAAGGTGAGGCCCCAGACCAGTGGCCGGGAACCTCCTGCTCCCATCTGCGAGGCAACCCTGGCAGTCCTCTTTCCTCAGGGAGACAGACATCCAAGCCCCTTGCAAGAGAGCGCTTCAGAAAGAAAAGCTTCCAATTGGGTTGGCCACTGCTATGAAAGGCCAAATCCAGGACAATCATGACTGGCTTGCTAGAAACCTCTTCCCTCGTCCTGAAGCAGCCAATCCCCAGGGTGGTCACAAGAGGCAGGGTACTCAGGCTGGGCAGGCATCCAGCCCCTCCGGGATCTGCGAGGTCTTGGCATTAAACCATCTTATAGCTGAAGATTTAATGGCATGGAAAAATAGTCCTGACCTACTAAATGGGGAGAGAGGGTTATAAATCACAGTGTGGCGCAGAATTCCAATCTGGGGATACACGTAAGACACGCTTGGAAGAATAATAACAAGGTCTTGCAATGACAGATATTTTTATTTTGTTCTGTTTATTTGTATTTTCTATTCTTTTTCCAATAAAAATGCATTGACGTTATGATAGGATTTTTTAAAGGTTACTTCTATCTGTTAAAAGAGGGAAATGGCCGATCTCTGAGCACAGCCATAAAAACAAAAGAAATTCCCTTCCCTGCCTGGACCTCGCTGGAGTGCAGCAACTCCTCCCCCGTGTGTTCAGTCACGCAAAACGCGGTGCTCCCCTTCCCTTTCATCAGGAAGGACAAAGAGCCAGCAAAGCTGTGAATGTCGGTGCTTCAGTAAAGAGCTATTTATTTAAAGCCAGCTTCTAGGGCTTGTCCTGGGCTCACTCCAGCCAGCCTGGTGGGCCGTGCCCGTCCCTGCGTCCAGGCTCTGGTACCACCCATGCACCCCAGCGGGGCTCTGCTGCCCCACGAGCACCCCTGCCGGCCCGCGGGGGAGGCAGCAGTGGGGTTTTCTAGACCTTCCTGATGAAGACCATCCTTCTTGGGAGAATTTTTATAACCAAGCCTGAAGTGAAATGGTATTGGTTGACTAGAAAGTTCAGTGACTCACCCCACCTTGTCTTCTGAGCTTCACAGGTAACAGTTTAGGGCCAGAGAAGGAAAAACAAAGGAGAAAAAGCCAGAGGAGGAAGAGGAGGCCCGGAGGGGACACTGGAGGCTGATGGCCCACCATCCAGCGATGTAGCAGAGCCACCCGTGTGCCCGGCTCTGCGCCAGGCACCAGCAACGCCAGTGGACAGAGCGCTGCAGCACTGCCTGGGGCTGAGGGGGTCACGGTGCAGGCGGTGGGGAAGGGGGAGGGGTTACAGCAGGCACAAGTCATCCCAGCTGAGAAACCAAGCAGGTGTCCTGGGGAGGAGGCTTCTGCCCCAGGGCCTGGAGGATGGAGAGTTGAAAGGAGCAAGAGGGTGTCAGGCAGAGGGAGCAGCATGGGCAGAGACCCAGAGGTGAGAGGGAGGACAGGAGAGGCTGGAGAAGGGAAGTGGTGAGGACAGGCTTTATCTAGGGCAATGGGAGCCACTGAGGGCATTTGAGCAAGGGAGTCCCTTGCTCAGATTGCTGTTTTTGGGAGATCACTCAGGCTGCAGAGATCTTTCTGCATTGAGAGAGGGGAAAAGGAGAGGGTGTAGGAGGGAAGGAATGGTGGCAGAGACCTGTCCTCCAGGGCTTTGGGAGCCCGTGGGTGGCTCTCAGACTCAGGCTCTGAAGTTCACTGGGGGAGCGGGGAGACGGTGCCCTCTGTGGGCAGGGGTGGGCACCCTGGTTCGAGTCCTCACTTCTGGGTGCGGGTCACGGCATTTGCGCAGTGGAGCTAAAAGCCCTTCTCCCCACGGGCTGTCGAAGCTGCTGGGCGGGCAGACGGGTGGGAGAGCTGGCTGCAAACAGGTAGATTCTGCGACTCGGTCACTGGGACCCAGAGCACCACCCATCGCTGGTGGCATTTTAGAGCTGCGTCTGCCGGTGGATGAGGAGGGGCAGCCCCAGACCTACGCAGGTTAGATATGAGAGAAGACACAGGGACATTCCAGAAGCTCACAACATTTTCATGTCAAAGAAGGAGGTTGAGTTCCCGGGAGGCACAGGTGGCTGGGAAGGAAGCACACTGACCTGGTGCTCAGGGGCTGGTCTCCGCGTGGTCCGCGCGCAGAGCCTGCAGCGAGAGCTCGTACCCGAGGAACATGGCCGCGCTCATGGGGAAGCCCCGCACGGTGTTCACTGTGACGCCTCTGAAAAACACCTTCGCACAGGGCGTTATGGCAGGGGGCTGGCCCACACTCTTGGGGCCACCGCTGCGGGGCAGAGAAACAGCGGGGGTGATGCCCTCCCAGAGGCCAAAGGATGTGCAGGCAGAGACCACATGGGATGCCCCAGCCATGCCCCTGCCCTGACCCCCGTCATCTGATGGCACCTGCCCCCAGACCCTGACACACGTGCACCAAGCACTGTAGGCCAGCTGTTTAACCCGCAGACGCCTGCCCTGCTTCTCTCTCTGTCTCTGTCTCTCTCTCTCTCTCTCTCTCCCTCGCGTGAGCGAGCGCATCCACACACGCAATCCTCAGGAATCTGGAAGCCCTAAGTAGACAGAGCACCAGCCATGACCAGCCGCTGGGACGGGGTCGTCACACGACACCCCCAACACGGCAGAGGGCAGAACTTGGGCTGTGCTTAAGACTCTGCAGACACGGAGCTGGCGCACAGCTCTCTCCCATTCTGTAGCTGTGCTACTTGGGCAAAGTGGTGACCTCTCTGGAACTCAGTGTTCCCAACTGTAAAATGGGGTAACAATAGTATTGACCCAATAAGGACGTCTGAGAGACTAAATGAGACAAAGCTTTCCAAGCACTTACACAGTGCCTGACATACAGTAGGCGCTCATTAACTCGTTGTTACCAATAGTCATCACCTAACAGGGAGCAGGACGCCACCTCTGCCCTCAGCGTGTGCTCAGGAGGAGCGGCCTGTGTTGAGAGCTGCTGCACTCTGCCATCCCCGCTGTGTGACGCGTGTTTGTCTCCATCCCTGGGGAATGTTGGAAGATGCTTCCCAACCACTGCCCGGATCTTCCTTTCCTCTCTGGGTCTCCCTGCCTGGTGCAGGGTGGGGGCTGATAACCGGGATGTGGTTCCACCCCTCGAGCAGTTCATAGCCCATCAGGGGAGAAAAGCCCCCCTGGGGACCCAGAGCGTGATGGGAACAGATAGGGGCTTGGTGAGGGCTGGCGCGGGGACTGGCCTTTACTGTGTGCTCTGGGAGGAGAGAATTTCAGTGCAGATCCCCACCCCAGCGTAATGACCAGAGAACCGTCAGGCATGTGGTATAAACCTGTCTCTGACTCCCGAACAATTCACCAAGTTTCAGAACCAGGACTGGCATTTTCAAGACAGCAGAAAGCAGCCAGAGCACTTCCCCAGTCTCCTTGTCTGCCGGCGCTGCGGTGTCAGAGGTGTCAGGGGGCCTTCCTTGAGCTTGGCCCAGGGAGGGGAGCAGATGGGCCAGGGCCCCGGGGTGAGCAGGAGGTCGAGGCATGCCCCGGAGCCCCCCCGGGCAGGGTGCGGGCGGGAGCCTGGGAATGTTAGCCTCCTCTGCGCCGCTGGCCTTTCCGGAATTCCACAGGCTCACCCAGAGTGACTGAATAACAGCAAGGAACTGGGTCAGGCTCCGAGAGGAAAATTCCATGCCTGGTGCTCCCAGAGGCTCCCCTGTGGTTCTGGGCTTGGCTCTGTCCCGTGAGGCCGAGTCAGGCAGCGCGCGTGGGAGCCTCCCATCCCACAGTGCTGGGCCCTGCAGGAGCCGTGGGCCACTCCAGACAGACAGACAGACAGCCCTACCCCTAGCAGCTGTGGCCTGCTCTGCTGCGGGGCCCACAGAAGCAAACAAAGTGCAGACCTGCAGGCTTTGACCTCTGAGCTTTCGGAACATGCAGCCTCCAGACTAGGTCCCCCACTCAATGGCTCGCCACCCCCAGGGTCCAGTCTGCACCCTTCCCTGGCTTGCAAGGAGCCACACACTCTGCCCTGCACTGTCTCTGGGCAGGCAAACACTTTCCCACCACTGAGCCTCTCCTGGCACCCTCTGCCTGGTGCTCCCCAGACCTGCCAAGCAGCCTCTGGCAGTCTTCCCACGGCCACCCAAAGTGGAGTATGGCCCGTCACCTTGTGTGCACTCGGTGTCTCTCCCATGCCAGCACTCCTCATGCTGTTCTCCAAGTGCCCGTGACTTGTCTGTCCCCCCACAAATAATCCCGGACAGGCAGAGGGTACTGTGTGTGTGGCTTGCCTCCGAGTGCCCAGCACTTGCAAGCGCCTGGCCCGGAGCAGACTTCTATACACACTTACTAAATGGTCAGTGGACGGATGGATGAGCAATGAATGAACGGACTCCTGGTCGTGAAAAGCAAGAGTCTCTGAGCTTAGAGTCCGGGGGTGGCAGCGGTGGGGGTTTCCTGGAGAGGGAGGAGGGCTCCAGACCCCCGAGAGGCAGCACCACAGGGCAGCCGGTGCCTCTGCAAGCTGTCTACCTGCAACTGTCCCTCTCTGTCTCTCCTCTAGCCCCGCGGCACTGTCACAGCCCCCCACAGCAGCCACCCCTACGGAGCTGAAGAGCACAGAGGTCTCCTCCAGCCTCCACTGCAGGTGGCTGCTCTCCAAGTCAGACCCATGGCCTGTGTGGCTGGACACAGTCCCCACAGTGGGCAGAGAATGGCTCCCAAACTACGAGGCCTTCCTTCCCCTCTCACTCGGGGATGCCCCCTGAGGCCGTGGACTTTTGATTTCTCCTATCACAAAGGCTACACCACTGATGACCCTTAAGTGGGTTACAAAGGGCTACTCAAATTGGGCACCACCATCATTATTTTACTCCTTTATAATTCTGTACTATCGCTGAGATCTTCTGCCGTAGGAAAGTGAGAACAGGTTGGACGGTGATGGGCTTAGCTCTGCGCCCTGCCTCCACGGGCCACAGGAAGAAATGTTAGGGGTGGCCAGCAAGCTCCGTGCATAGGGCAGAGCCCAAGCCAGCGGGGACCTGGAGCCGCCCTGGGGCCAGGAAGGGCTCTACCTCCCCCCCTGCCGCTGCTCGAAATCTGCCTTTGAGACAACTTGATTTTGCAGGACTGCGTGGGGTGGCGAGAGGAGCTGCCTGAGGGGCAGGAAGGATGTGAGGTGACTCTGGGACTTCCCACTGGGAGCAGGCAGGGTGGGTGGCTCCGAGCAGTGAGAGAGGAAGGACTGCCCAGCCCATCTTGATGGGAAGGCACACTGTGGTGACAACAGATGGGGCCAGGCCCCCGCTACACCATGTACCAGCTGTGTGACCGTGGGCAGGTTACCAGCCCTCTCTGAACCTCTATCAGGTGGGCTGCACACCTGCCACCTCTCCCGGCTGGTGAGGACTCGACAAGACAACCCAGCTGAAGCGCTCGGTGCCACACCTGCTGTGGTACCTCGTACACGGTGACCGCCAGCCCCTCGGTCTCCCAAGTCCCTTCCCATAGTGTCACATCCCCCTTCCAGGGGCTGGCACTGACCCCGCAGGACCTCTGTGGGCTTACTTTAAGTCCTTCCTTCTGGTAACTCTGGGAGATACAGTCCAGGACACCTTTGTATTTGTTGAAATAAACCCCGTCAGCTTGGAGTCGACTTTTCACGACATCCATAGGAGTGGCTGTCCCCCAAGAAATGGCTCCTGCAAAGACAGAAAAGCAGGTGTCCGAGGCAGGCTGGTTGCAAATCTCCACCGCTCAGAAACTTACTACGTTGCTAGGGGAGGGGACAGAGCTCAGGGTTAAAACCTGCAGAATCGGTTTCTGATCCTTCCTGGCCACTCGCTCCCTGCGGGCAGGAGCCTCCTCCCTCCTCCAAGCCTCAGCCCCTCGCCGTGCAATGGGGCGGCTTTGCCTATCCTCGCGGGGCTGCCGCCAGCACCGAGCGCAGCGCCCGTCCTCGGCCAGTGCGCGGTTCGTGCCCGCTTTCTGCGCAGCTGCTACTGGAGAATCAGTAATAGGTGGCACCATCCCGGGGCACCAGAAGAGTGAGCCCAGGGTGTGGCAGCTTAGGGATTGAAAAAAAAAAAGGCAGGGACAGGGTTTCTAAAAATCTCTTTTTCAAATACGTGGAATAGAATTGGGACCATGAGCCCCTGGGTCATCCTCACTGGATAGGCTCAGGTAAAGAACTCAAGGAAATCCAGGTTATTGTACAAACATAGAAGCTGACACATGCCCGGGTGAGGGCGAAAAAACCAAAGTGATGTCAAAGTCCAGGGCAGCTGGTGTGCAAAGCTTTGTGATCACTGCCCAGTAGCTCCCCACAGAGCCCGCAGCCTGCCCACCCCGCCGCCTCCAGACCCCTCGGCCTCCTGCACGGGGACGGGGCTCCAGCGGCTGCTGCCCTTACCCGCCACGCCGCCCGCCAGCCACACGGCGCAGGGGCTGGGGCCTGCGCAGGCCTCAGGTGTGATCCACTCGCTCAGGAACACGTAGGGGATAAAGTAGAGGCAATAGCCTGGGACGTCCCTCAGCAGCATGGCCCCGGCCCCCCGGTACAGCCCTGCCAGGCCCTCGTTCCGCACGATGGTTGCGATGCAGTGCACAGGTCCCTGGTACGCCGGCTGGTCCCCCAGAGCTGCCACCCTGGACTTCAGACCGAGGTTGGCTGCAAAGGCAGGGGGAGAAGGTGGCAAGTGACCCGGAGGGTAAGAGACTGGCCATTCCCTGGCACTGGAGCCAGCCCGGCCCATTGACAGGTCCCTCTCACGTGGCCCGTTGGCCTTTTACCAAACCTCCTGACCTTCTTGGCAGCTAAAACCAGGATCCTGAGGTCCCAGCAAGGAGCCGCTGCCAACATGCACGGCCAGGTTGAAGACAATTCAACCACGGGATAAAGCAGCAGCTGCCGCAGGATTGCCAGAGCTTTCTGGTCAACAATCACGTCTTTCTAAGCAGAGGTGACTGCAGAGTGCCTAGGCCCAATTACGACAAGGCACACCAGGCTCTTTCTTGAAGCAGAGGCCAGAAAATCCAACATGCTGTATGTGTGTGCACACGTGTACCTGTGCGCAGTGTGACAAAAAGTACAGGAGCCAGACTGTCCTGGCTGCATATCCCAGCTCTACCACTCACGAACTTTTTGACCCTGGCAGGTCAGCATTTTCAGCCTCTGTTTCCTTATCTTTAAAAGAGGGACAGGCTGTCATGAGTACAAATAAGGTTATATATGTAAAGTGCTCAGCGCGGTGACCGGAACACTGTAGTGGCCCAGTAAGCTATTGATTGACACCGAGGTGGTTGGCATGACGTGGACGCAGGACCCACAGGCTGGAGTGGGCGGGTGTGTTCTCACCGACTCACGTCAGCCCTGGACAGGCTGTGCCCTAAACAGTGCTGGCATCCTTGGCCCCTCAAAGTTCAGGGGCTCAGGGCTGCTGTCTTCTTGTCTGACCTCGGGGTCTACGCTGGCAGACCAGGGCTTGTGTATGTCTCTAGTTCCTTCTAGGCATGTAGCCAGCAGGGACTCTGCATCTCCCCCCCTCTGATGTTCATCTTCTCCTTGCTACACACCCTTACTACAAACAGACCTTCTAGTCCCAATGCAGGTAAAGTGGGCTCTTGTCCTCAACTTTCCCATCTCAAGGAACTATAATAACCTGCCATGACCAGGAAGGAAATAGAGTGAAGTTTGCCTGTGACCACGAGCCTGTTTTGCTCGCTGGTTTAATTCCCTGTACACGGCGTTCCGGTTTGGTCTCACACATGCTGGCGGACGAGCAAATCGCTTTCATCATGGGGTTAAACTTCCATGCCCCCCAACAGTCCCATCTTTATCAGATGGAAGTTTAGGGACAAACATTCTGCTTCATGACTCCACAGTCTAAACTGGGCGCTGGGATGAAAGCACAACCTGTACTTTAACTCACCCCAGAAGCAGGAGAGGTGAAGGGGCGGTTTCTGCTCGCCTGGGGAGTGTGCTTGGACAAGCTCATGCCGTGGTTTCCAGCTGCATGTGGGGACGCCAGTAAATCCCTGCCATCCCCACTAGGCCGCCCACAGCGTGGGCAGGAGACAGAGCCCTGCTCACCTCTTCCCCAGTGGACTTTACAGGAGGTGAGCAGAGTGATGGACACTTCTGGGGGTGCAAGGCCCCTCTGAACAAAGTCAGAGTCTGTGGCCTTTGAAAGCCCACTGAAAGGTCACTCGGCACCTGGTCCTCTCCCAAACCTGGTCATCCCGGGAAATTTCGCCATTAGACAGACTAGACGTCATTGTCCGGATATGTCAACTTTGCCTGGAGCACTTTCATCTCCAGGAAATACTGACCTGACCCAGGAGTCAAGGTTTTCATGAATCGGCTGTGGGTAGATAGAGGCTCCCAGGAGTTACTGATTGAAGGAGAATGAGCTGATAACACCATGTTTGTTTGGAAGTGCAGAGATTGGGAAAACACTCGCCAAACCTCCACTGACCTTGTCAACAAAAAACCTGTACTTTTTTCCTTTTCCCTCCAAGGTAAGCAATAAGGAAATTCTCTCGCATTCTCCCAGCTTTGCAACATAAGCAATCTAACTTTTATTGCTTGAGATTAAAGCAATAGAATCGTCATGGTGACAGCCATCACTGGGACACTGACATAGCTCTGAACCGCCCGAGTTTATACTGCGAAGCCCTTGGAACTCCTTTCAGCCCCTTCGTTCCCAATATATTTTTCAAAAAGTTTTATTTGGACATAATCCCAAATTTGCAAAAAAGTACAAAATGCAAAATGGTGCAAAGAATGCCCATATATACCCTTCATCCAGATTTACCTGTTGCTCACGGTTTACTTCAGTTGCTTGTCGTTTGTGGGGTCTCTCCCCACCCCCTTCTCACTCAACAGTGTGTGCACTTTGACCAAGTAGATGTCATTGTCCCAGTGCCCAAACTTTGCCTGGGCCTCGTTCATCTCCAGGTAACAGTGACCTGACCAGGAGACAAGGTTTTCATGAATCAGCTCTGGGTACGATGGGGCTGTCAGGAGTCCTCACTGAAGGAAAGTGTTCTGATAAAATCCTCTCTGGAGGTGCAGATGTTGGAAAAACACCTGTCAAACCTTGAACTGGCTTGTCAACAAGACCCAAACGAGAACCAAACCTGTCCTTTTCCTTTTCCTCCTAAGGTAAGCAGTGAGGAAATTCCTTTGCATACACATAGATTTTTTCCCACCCATACACACATACATAATTTTATTTTCTAAACTATTTCAGGGTGAGCGACATAGACATGGCTCTTGACCACTAAATAGTTGGAAACATAGTTCCTAAGAACCTTGATAGTGTCTTACACAGCTATCATGCAGCTATCAGTTTGATACTTCTGCATTGAGTGGACTCTTATCTAATCTACTATCTGTCATCAAATTGCCATCTGATACCATGGTGTCCTTGTCAGCACTTTCCCCCTCTGGTACAGAGGCCAGTCTTTTAATCTGGAACATTTCTGCAGTCTGTCTTTGTTTTTTGCTACAATGATATTTTGAAAGACTGCACTGCCCCACTTCTTGTGAATAGAGTTTCCTCACCCCGGGTTTGTCTGACATGTCCTTGTCATTACACTGGGGCTGTGCCTTCCTGGCCGGACCTCTCTCCATTCTTAACCCTCACTTCTTCCATGAGAACCGATCACTCTCAAGAGCACCTGGTCTTCTCCCTCTCTAGCCTCTTATCCTTGTTTTTATTAGTTTGTTTTTCAGTGGAGGTATAATTTACATTCAATAAAATGTATAGCTCTTAAGTGTACAGTTGATGAGTTTTGACAATTGCAGGAACCTATGCAAACACACCCTACCAAGAAAATGACTTTTTGTACTGAAAACAAACCGTTTTGGTCACAGTCCACTTAGGCAGAGCAAAGATTCCACAGCCCACTCCCCTCTCCTGATTCTCAGGGTGAAAGAGCCCTGTGAGATCGATGAGAGGTCACACACCTTCCTCTGGGCAGCGGTTGTTATGGGTCTGTCAGCACTAGCCATAGAGGGACGGATGATTCATATGGGACCACAAAGCAGAATGTCATCAAGTATAATCATCATAATTTTAGGCCCAAATACACCTGGGACAAAAATGTATCACAAGAACACCATTGGTTAGGCCCAAAGTCACAAAAATCAAAAATGATGATGATGAATTTCTACCAATACTTATTTTTAATTCCATAGCAATAGCAGGAGCATTGGAAAACTGTGACCAGCTCAAGACACCACTGCTGATGAAAGAACGGTGGAGCTTTCTTCTAGAAAACAGCAAGGATTCCCACCGGCTGCCCGTGTGGCGCCAGGTGCCACATGCCATGGCATGGCGGGGACGTGTGGCCTGGGAGCCTTGGCAGCCAGCCTTGGGAAAGCTGAACTCAAGTGACTCTGGCAGTGAACCCATTTTAGTTTGTGAAAACCAAATTTTGATGACTCTTAAAAGTTGATTTGGGAAGTTACTGGGAAGTAATTCTTGAACACATGCACAACTAACCTCTGTGGGCTTCGTGTCATCTGCCAAGGGGGCCTGGGGAAGAGCGCGGGATGCCAGATCAGCGCTCAGCTCCCACTGGAGCACGGACTTCCAGGCCTCTGTTCCTGAACCTTCTGAGTTCGGTCTCAGGTGCGTACATGTATGTGTCAAGGGTTGACATTAGGGATATTTTCTTCTAAAGTGAAAGGTACTTAATTTCTCTAATTAGAATTTTTTATTCTATAATGAGGATAAAAATATAAATCAAATTTTGATCATTCCTTGTCACACGTGCTTTGCCTTTGAGACCGTTTTTTGCTGCCCTCTCTAAATCAAGGGCATGTGACCTTTTACCATGACAGGTACAGACTGTGTAGCTCAAAAACTCAGGACGCTGCGGTTTCCTTTGTTTTCCCCAGTTCGATTAGGGCCAGCTCAAGCCCCTGCACCAAGACTGGCAGGATGCTCAAAGTCAATGAAATTGGCCCCTACCCTGCTCCTATTAGTGGAGGAGGAGGGCCTGCGCAGTCCAGGAAAGAACCTCCTGCAGTCACCTTTTGGGGGACTCCCCACCTCAGAAGGGCTGGAGTGGCCAGGACACAGGCTGAGGTCCCCACAGATCTGCCACTATCACCCTTCTTCTGAGAACCCAGGAACCAGCCACAGAAAGCCACTGTGCCTTCCTCAGACACAAACACAAAGAAGTCTCATTTCTGTCCTTTCCCCGATCAACGCTGTTCAATGTCTTCAGTGGGCCATGACCCTGAAAACAGGAAAGGCAGCTGAAACACAATGGCCGGGGACTGCTCCACCAGGCAAGGAGGGTCGGCCTGGCCACCTCTGGAAGGAAAAGTGTCCCCAGGCCTCCCCTGCTATGTGCGTATATGCGGGTGGCCTGGGGACCACAACGTGACTTCTCAGAAGGCCACTTTCTACAGAAAATCCCTGACAAAGCAGCCACCCACACATAAGGCCCTGCTGGGTGCTCACCAGGGACGTGCTGGTTTGACAAGTAAGATCAGACTGGTGGGCTCTCAAATGGAAACTGGGGGCCTGGAGCTATTTCAAGGGACCCAAGAACCCAGGAGCATTACGGGTTGACAGAATCCCTAAAATACCTCGCAGCTATGTGAGCACGGACGAGTTACATAACACAAGCCTCAGTTTCCCCACTTGTAAAACAAAGATAATAATAGCACCTCTTTCGTAGGGGTGCTGTGATTATTAAATAATGGAACGGGTGTTATCACAGTGCACATGGTGTGGGCTCAGTAATTAACTGTCACTGGTAGTGTAGTTCTGCTGCACGGGATCTAAGCCCATCCTCGCCTAAGAACTCCAAGCTCTTCCAAACTCACTCTGCATCGTCCAAACCCCCCTGCCCCCCGCTCCCTGCATCGTGTGTCTGCACTAACCACATGGGTTCCCACCCACATGCCCGCATTTTCCTGCCACTGAATCTTCCCCTATATTGTTCCCTTAGTATAAAACATTTCTCCACCCCAGGGTTCCCATCTCTAAATCCTACCCAGAACTCAAAGATCCAATCGACAGCCACTTCCTTTCTGGAGCCTCCCTGATCCACAGAGCCAGAATGAGGGCTTCCAGAACCTTCCATAGGGCCCTTCTCATTCCAGTACATGACGAGCTCCACACCAGACTGTGGGCACCCGGAGGCAGTGGCTGTGCACCCAACACCTCTTCTTTATCCACTCTGCCTGGCTCAGAGCAGCGGCCCGGGAAATGCCTGTGAGTGAATGATTCTCAGAATGAATTCAAACACACGCCACGCTCAGCCCTGGCCTCCGGCTGAGCCTGGTGAGATGACCAGGATGGCAAGCACAGAGTTAATACTGAGTCCTCCTCTTATCCTCCTGTTACACTGATGGCTTTGTGATCTGCACATTAGTTAGGCTTTTTACGGAAACACAGACCTCAAAGCTCCAGATGGGGGAGGAATGAGTGTCATTAACCAGCAGCCTCTAGGAGGGACAGGCTCAGGCAGCAGAGGGACTCCTGGCCTCCAGGGACACAGCTCTGACTTCCAGCTCAGGCCCAGCAGGGCACCCAGTCACTCCCTATGCCATGCAAAGGCTAATAGCTTTAGAAAGGAGGGTTTCTTCACAGCTGCCTTACTGTAAGAGAGATACATCCAATGGAACCCAGGCCAGCCCCTCCTTGCTTGCCAAGTGGCAGAGTCCCAGGAGTGCACCTCTGTTGAGCTGGAAGACTTTGCGTGGAGGGACGACTGCTGGCTATTGCACAATGGGCGTCAGCGTCAAACAGAAATTCCCACTAAATTGCAGCAAGTGCTGGTGTATTTGGTGAAGCCCTTCTAGATAACAATTTTGCAACATGTACAAAGAATGTTAAAAATGTCTATACCCTTTTACCCACTCATGAATCAAAGAGCCCACACACTTCGGGAAATAACCCTCAATGAAGGCAACTATTGATGGACAAATTTGCTGATCACATCACTGTTTTTAAGAGAAGAAAAACTGTAAACAACCCAAGTGTTCACCAGTAGAAAGATTGTTAAATAATACATTTGCTGTAGTATAGCTAACATTTATTTCCTGTTTTCGATATGCCAGACATTGTGCTAAGGTCTTCAGGGATACCCCGCCTCATCCCAGCTATGACGCAGCTGCCATTGTTATGCCTGCTTTGCAGCTGAGTGAACTGAGGCTCGGCGACATTGGGTGAGTTGACCGGAGTTTCTCAGCTTTGGTGGAGGTAGAGTCAGAAGCAAGTAGTCTTATTCCAGAGACTGAATCCTTACCACACTATATTGATCTTCTCAATGTGGGGTGTGTGTGTGTGTGTGTGTGTATTTGATGGAATATTGCATATTCATTTTAAATATTAGCCATCTATTTAAAATAATTTTATATGCTATTTTAATAACACAGAAAATGTTTACGTTATAATGTTGAGTTAAAAGCAGGATATGAAATTATCCATATGGCATGATCACAACCTCTTAAAATCTGTAATCTAGGTACATAGAACAGGAAAAGGAAACACATTAATGTGTTAACAGTGGTTGCATTTGGGTAGATGAGCATTTGCTCCCTCTACTTTCAATGTGCCGCAGTTTATACGTTTTCAGCCACAGGTCGCCACTAACAGACAACCAGGAGGGACTCGCCAGCCTCCAGTCCACCTGCCGCAAGCAGACAAGCCAGAAGCTCTGGCACTGTTTTGACTTTCACGTCTTATTACTTAAGGAATATATTTCATAAGGCTATATTTGTCATAGACAAAGATTCCTCTGAGGGATCTGGGCAAAGTAAATCGAAAACTTTCTGGAAGGGATTCACCATTCCAGATGTCATGAAAAACATTCACACTTCATGGGAGGAGGTCAAAATACCAACATTAATAGGAGTTTGGAAGAAGCTGATTCCAACCCTCAGGGGTGACTTTGAGGGGTTCAAGACTTCAGTGGAGGAAGTCACTGCAGATGTGGTGGAAACAGCAAGAGAGCCGAAGTGGAGCCTAAAGATGTGATCGAGTCGCTGCAATCTCTGAGAAAACTGGAACAGATGAGCTGCTTCTTATGACGAGCAAAAAAAGCGGTTTCTTGAGATAGAATCTACTCTGGGTGAAGACACCGTGAACACAGTCGAAATGACGAGAAAGGATTTAGAATGTTACATAGACTTAGTTGATAAAGCAGCGTCAGGGTTTGAGAGGACTGACCCCAATTTTGAAAGAAGTTCTACTGCGGGTAAAACGCTATCAAGCAGCATCGCGTGCTACAGAGAAACCTTTCATGACAGGAAGAGTCGATCGCTGTGGCAAACTTCACTGCTGTCTTATTTTAAGAAGTTGCCACAGTCCCCAACCTTCAGCAACCACCACCCCGATCAGTCAGCAGCCATCGGCACTGAGGTAAGATCCTCCACCAGCAAAAACGATTTCCACTTGCTGAAGGTTCAGAGGATTGCTAGCATTCTTTAGCAATTTTTTTAATTAAGGTATGAACATTGTTTCTTTAGACATAATGCTATTGCACACTTAACAGACCTCAGTGTATTAGAAACATAACTTTTATATGCACTGAGAAACCAAAAAGTGTGTGCGACTTGCTTCATTGTGTGAATCGCTTTATCGTGGCGGTCTGGAACCGAACGTGCAGTATCTTCGAGGTATGCTTGTCATTACAGACCAGTACATGACAACATACACACCCTGCTCAATAACAAGGATGTTAACAACCGCGTCCCAGATCTGGCAAACCAGGAAAGGGTCACAGGTCCCAGACGCCAGGCTCCCCTCCCCTGGCCTCTTACCTGCCTGAAACGGCTGTGTCTGCATCTGCAGCCGGATCTTGATGAGGTCCACGGGCCCTCCCAGCCCGACAGAGACCACGCCGGCCACCATGCTGGCCAGTAGCAGGTCTGACAGTGTTCGGGGAGGGCTGGCCTCGGGCTCCCCACAGCGGTGCTGGCTGAGGAACCTCTGCGTGTTACTGAAGACCCCAAACACCACCGAGTTGTAGACGGCAATGCTGGCCAGGGGGAAGGACATGCCCTTGAAGAAGCCGAACACCTGTGGGGAGACCCAGTGGGAAGAGGCATGAGGGCCCGGGCTGCCCCTGGGGTCCTCTGTCTGCCTGGAGGCTGCCCCCACCCTCCCCGCCCTCCTGGCGTCCGCGGGCTGGTGGGGGAGACATCACGGGGCGAATGAGCCCGTGTGTCAGGGAAGAGAGGAGAAGATGCTGACGGCACAGGAGAGGCGGGTGAGGGCTGCTGCCGCAGGGGGCAGGCATTCCTGCTCCAGCGAGGAACCGGCTTCCACGTGTCCCTCTGTTTCCTGCATGGTGGCGTCCTGGCCCGGAACCCGTACTCGCTGCCGCAGTGGCTGTGGCCGAGGGGCAGTGGGCTGGCCAAGCACCACGAGCTGCCTCCTCATCTGCTGCTCAAACAAAAGCGTCCTCCAGACAGGTGACGCGTGCCAGCTCTGGGAGACAACAGTGAGAAGCAGTGTCCACCCTCCCTGGGCTCACAGTCTGAGGCAGGGCAGGGCAAGGGGGACAGGACAAACGAACAGGCAGTTTTGATACAACCCACTGAGCCTGGGGGGTAAGAAGGGGGTCCCACAGGCCCCCGAGGGGAACCTGGGCCAGCAAGCCACAGGGCTGAGGGTGGGTGTCGCCTAATAGAAGTATCTGGAAAGGGAACCCCGGAAGAACACGGGAAGGACTTATGTGCACACACAGGATGCAGGAGGCCGAGGAGAAGGTGCTGCAGGCTGGGGTCAAGGTCCTTTCTATTTTGCATTTTCATGAACACCACAGATGCTCCAAGGAAAACTGGAAAATTCCACAGGCCCTCGGAGGAGTTAGGGCAGCACACGTGTGCCAAAGATGAAAAAGTAGTGGCAAGCCACGGTGCAGACTCCAGGCTGTGCACAAACATGCCCGTCCCGACTACGTGCAGTGCACCCTGGTCGCCAGAGCCAGGGCGCCACACACGCGCGCGCACACACACACACACACGCACACACATGCACACGCCCTGCTTCCCGCTCTTCCTCCATAACAAGATCCTTCAGATAACTTGGGATGTTGCTTAAGCCACAAGCGGCTGTGTCTCAGAGAAACTGCCCACAGTCCCCACCGACACCCTGGAGCTGGGACGGGGCCGGCAGACCCTGCGGGGACGTGCGCCAAAGGAGAATCAGCGGCCACTCAGGGGACTGTGGGATCGCACAGCCTCACCGCGGAACACCAAGTGCCCGGCTCGTGGTGCTCACCCCGATTTTAAAGCGGCGATCGAGAGAGTCAAAACAACACCCTGGAGCGAGCCATGCCAGGCCCTTGCGGGAGGCATCTGAGACCCAGGGCGCTTGCTAGGATGGAGCCTGGTGGAGACAACGGTGACAATGGGGCCGATTTCCAGGGGTCAAGGACAAGCCACAGGGCTGCCACCTGACCATTTCATTAACTCAGGTCATTTCATCTAAGTTTTAAAATTTATTTTAAATTCCCCAAAGAGGGGCTGTAGAAGGTCTTCCTAAGCGCATGCTAATTCTCAAGAAGGGAGTCTGATGCGTCGTCTACACAGTATTATTCAGACTTCCCCTTTGAAAAGAAACACCTGGGTCGTGTGGTCTCAAGGGAGCTCCGGGGCCTGGACGCGGAAGCGCCCGGCTCGCGCCAGGCCAGGTAAAGGGCTGCCTGTCGGCGCATGTTTACCAGCCACTCATCCCGTTTTGAAAACCTGACAGGTCACCTGTGTCTGCAGAAATTTTCCACACTGGGGTTCTAAATTCCTCAGGACTGCTCCAGAGGGTGCACACAAGGCCGGTTTTTTTCCCCGTTGTTTTGGCGGGGGTTGGGGGGGCGGTTTTGGTGGTTGTTGTTTTTTGGGTTTTGCGTTGGGTTGGGTTTGCCGGGCCCGGCCGGGCGGGTTGTTTTGGGCTGTGGCCGGTCCCAGGCCCGAGGGAGGCCCAGGTGATGTCGCTCCACCTGCCGGGGACACTTACGCTCTCCCTCCGGTACACGGTGCGGATGCAGCTGAGGGTGTTCCCGTAGCCGACGCCAGCCTGCAGGCGAGTCTGCGGAGAGAGGCGAGGGTGGCCCTCAGAGATCATTCACATCCCCGCTGCCCCAAAAGACGCCCAGGGAGGGGAAGGCCCTGCCCAACGTGACCCGCCAGGAGGGAGGTCTGGGTTTCAGTCCCGGCCAGGCTGGCGCTCCGCCCTCCGCACGCCTGCCTCCCTCTCCTGCCCCCTTCAGACCTGCTCGTGCAGGAGAAGCCCACTTTGCTGAGAAGGACGAAGGCCAGTTAGTACAAAAATGATGGTTGCCAGGGGATGTACGATCCTTGCCTCCTGAGGACAAAAAGCTAAACCGGGGCTCTACCCTGTCTGCTGTCACTCTGCCCTCTAAATACCCCTGGGGGGACTCACTCTTCTTGCCCCCAGAGGCACCACGCCCAGGCTGCACCCCTTCATCCTTACCGGGACAGCGGCCAGCCCCCTCCTGGCCTCCTGCTTCTCCCACACTTCTTCCCTCTCTCTACATAGCAGTCAAACTGATATTTCTCAAACATCAGAGAAGCTGGGGCACTTCAGTGGCCTCCAACCAAACTTAGACGCATTTCACACTCTACCTGCACCCAGGAGGCCCTGGGGGGAGCACGACCCGCCTCTGGCCCCTGCATGCCATCTCCTCACCCTCCACGCCCTCCACCTGGCATGTTCCCAGTCCCCAAGCAGCGATTGTTGCCCACCCCCAGCCCTTTGTCCTCGCTGTCCCCTCCCCCTGGAAGTTTCTTTCCCCGGCTCCTGCTTTAGGGTCTGAGCTGAAATGTTGCAACGGTCCTATTTGTTTGATTACGCAGGGTTTATGTTGGGTCACCTCCTAGGGCAGGCCTCCTGTCTCACTCTCCTCTTGGCCCTGGAGCTGAGCACAGCCCTGGCATAGTGGCCCTTCACGCTGGCTGTGTGGCGAAGGCACGGTGCCCTGTGACAGAGGCTGGCTGTGGTGACAGGGGCAGCAGCCGACAGGCACAGGGGTCTGAGCGGGCTCACACAAGAGCCCAGAGCCCCCTCACCCTGCTTTCAGAGTGTCCCACTTCTTTTAAGATGCGGAGCCTATAATTCTCCGCCAAAACACTGTCTCGGCATTTGCAGCGCACCGCGCCGGTGCAGGAAGAAGCTGTGAGAGCCGCCAGGGAGGAGATGCTACGCCCAAGCCCTCGCTTGGGGCCTAGAGAACTGATGGGCTCTGCTTTCACCTTCTCACCTCTCCTGGTTCTGCAGAATCAGGGCCATCTTAAGATTTGCGTAGATTTCTTTTTTTTTTTTGAGACAGAGTCTCACTCTTTTGCCCAGGCTAGAGTGAGTGCCGTGGCGTCATCCTAGCTCACAGCAACCTCAAACTCCTGGGCTCAAGCGATCCTCCTGCCTCAGCCTCCTGGGTAGCTGGGACTACAGGCGTGCGCCACCATGCCCGGCTAATTTTTTCTATATATTTTTAGTTGTCCAGATCATTTCTTTCTATTTTTTTAGTAGAGACAGGGTCTTGCTCTTGCTCAGGCTGGTCTTGAACTCTTGAGCTCAAACGATCCTCCCGCCTCGGCCTCCCAGAGAGCTAGGATTACAGGCGTGAGCCACCGTGCCCGGCTGACTTGCTTAGATCTTGGGCTCTATTACTTTTGCAAACCCGCCCCATATCATATCAAGCATGATAAAGTTAAATCTAATTTTATATATTTAATGTGCATCCCACATTAAATATCATTCACATAGATCTCCATGAAAGTTGGGTTGTATTTGACTATTTAACATAAGGCTATATTTTGTAAACATTTAGTGAAGCATTCATTTTGCTTCTGCGCTTTTCTGCTTATATAGTATTTTCTCAGGTCTCTGACACTTTCCTGGGTCCTTATAAAGCGCAGGAGCCCTGGGCTCTGTGTGCGCAGTGGACACGTCTTAAAGATCAGGGCCCTGCATGGGACATTGGGCCCAACACCATGATCGTCCCATCGGGGGTGCTGTGAGCATGTGCTCCTCCAGTTCATGGCTTTCCCTCCCACTTGAAGCTCTCAGGGACCCAGAGGTGAAAACACAAGGAAAGAGGGATGAGCGCTCAGTGGCACGGGGTGAGGTGGCTGGAGCCTCAATGCTGAGAGCTGGGCCACTGTCTGCCCCCACCCCCGGCCCCCACTGACCTGACAGTTCAGGCCACGCCCTGGCTGTCCTGGGCCAACATGCATTCCCAAGGCTGGACTGGGCAGTCAGGGAGCAGCCTGGAGTGGCAGGGATTACGCTAGAGCAAGGCAAGAAGCCCCCCCGGGATGTTCATGAGTCGGGGGCAGACACCCCTGAAGCCTGCCATTGCAGCCTGGTCCAGGCGGTCTACAGGCAGCAGAGCCCTGACCAGAACCCGGCCACCCTGCAGCAGGCATGCACTCCTGAGTGCACCAGCCGTGCCTCCCTGACCTGCGACCCGGCAGCCGAGTGCAGAGGAAGGAGCCTTTGACCTGGTCAGCAGCCCAGGGCCTTGCAGCTGAGTTCGTCCACGGGCAAGCCCTGGGGCCACATGCAAGCCACTGGTCTGCCCACCCACACCCGACACATCTCCTCATCATGACAGGGTCCTGTCGCTCATTGCTATACCCTCAGTGCCTCCGTGAGCCATCTTCATGACAGCCTCGCCGGGAGGTGCTATCTGCCCCCTTTGTAGACAAAGGAACTGAGGCTCCGGAAGGTTCAGTGCTGTGCCCTGGGTCACAGGAGAGCAGAGGATGCGGCCAGCACTGGATTTCAGCTTACTCAGACTTGCCCAAGCCTTTCTCAGGGGACAGGGACTCCAGAGAAAATGCTGTCCAGAAGGAAGGAAGATGTTCCAGAAAGATGTTCCAGGGTGCAACGGAGCCCTGGCCCACGCTCCAGGCTGGACCAGGGCGGCCATGTGCCATGCCGGGCGGTGCTCCAGCGGGAGGGTCCCAGGCTGAACGGGGGCTGGATGCCACGTCTCAGGAGGGCCCTCCAGAGGTTCAGGGGACAGGGGGCAAGGAAGAGAGCCTTCCCAGGTGACTGTGCCAGGCTTGCCTGCAGAGAGGGAGGGGCCTCCGCCCCCCAAATTGCCCTAAGTCCAACGACTGGCGTCCTTGGAGAGGAGAGGGGAGCTGGCGCAGTGACACGGAGAGCAGGGCCACAGCAGGACCGAGGCAGAGCCTGGGGCCACATCAGGGATCCCCGGCGGCCGTGGCATGGGACGGCTGCTCCCTCGGAGCGTCCAGGAGGAGCCAACACCTTGAATTTGGACTCCCTGCTTCCTGAATAAACTTCAGCTGTCTGAAGCCCAAGGAAACTAACACCCCCCAGTCGTCTGCAGTCAAATCCCTCCTACCTAACTGGGCAACAGCGTCACCAACTCCCTCATCCACCTTGCCTTAGGGACGGTCGCCCTGCTCCTGGCTGGGAGGACAGGGGCCGCCCGTGAGGAGCAGTTCCAGCTCCACAGCTGAGGCCGCCACTCAGGAGAATGACTGTCACCTCTTGAGGTGTCCCCATGCCTCCCTTACTATGTGCATAATAAGAAATTATACATCCCATTGCCATCAGAGCATTTTAGACACATTCTCTGTCTTTGGTTAAAATCCCGCTAGATAGTTTTACATGATGGTAACCTAGAAAAACTTAATTTATATGGAATGATGTCGATGAAAATGGCAGCTACTGATTTTTACTGCCTACTGGGTACCAGGAACAACTCTCTGACCTTATGTTTACCCCGCAAGCCAGGGATTAGTGCCGTGTTTAACAGGAGGCCATGCAAGAGGAAATGGCAAGAGCAGGGTTCAGTCCCAGAGCCTGCTGGCTCCAAAGCCCGTCCTTCCGGCTCAGCCGCCGAGCGCTGCTGCGGATGGGTTTGCCAGTGAGCCCTGGACGGCAGACTAGGAACGAGTTAGGTGAGTGTTGGGGGGGAGCGCCAGGAACAACCTGCACCCTCAAGGAGACGCTAAGGACTGCATCGGAGTCTTCCGAGTGTCCCCGGGCGCAGCCCTGGACAGGTATACAGCTGGCGCCCTGAGCTGCGCTGAGGTCCGGGATAGCCTCTGCTCCGCAGGTACTCACCCAGGGCTGTGCCCAGCTCTGCGCTAGGCTGTGCTCTGAACGGGGAAGCCCAGCCTGGGCAGGATAACTGGCCAGCTCTCTTGGAGGGCGGAGAGAGCTCAGTGGGCATCGCAGCTACGACAGAGGTAAGGAGGGTGCCCGAGGGCCCGGCTTGGCTCTGGACAGCCCTGGGGAGTGTCAGGCACGGGCTCGACCTCTGGGCAGCAGTGATTTTCAGAGACGAACTTGCTGCAGAGCCCTCCTTGGTGGGCTCCAGGAGCCAAGGCTTGGGCGTGCAGGGCTGGCAGGAGGCAGGCAGTGAGGCCCCGGCTTGAACAGCAGCCCCGGTCTCCCTGGACGTCTCCCGGCACCTGCGTCACACCCCTTGCTCGCCTCGCTGCATGCATGACATACACGCTCGCCTGCGTTCCTTTCAAACGTACTTTTGCACCCTTGGGTCTTGGCACTAGTTTGTCCCTCTGCCATAAGCACTGTGTCCCCAGGTCTGTACGTCTGGCTCATGGTGCCATTTGAGGCCCTGCAGAGAGGCCCTCCCTGACCCTCTGACATAGGGAGGCCCTCATCACAGCCTCTGCCTTTGCCTCGCGCTGTCATTCCCGTGGCACCTACCACTTCCTATAAATGTCTTGTGCATTTATTGTGTCCCCTGATTATTATCTATCACTGCCCTAAAAACATCTGTCCCCTTGCCTGCCTCCCTCACTGCTGCATTCTCAGACCCTAGGTCAGCTTATGGCACCTGGCAGACAGGTACTGGGCCACGGAGGGGTGAGTGCCTGACCTCTGTCCCACGGAGTCTCCAGGCTGGCTCCAGTGGCACCTGCCCCCTCCGGCATCCTCCCCACACCCCCCAACAATAGCACATTAGCGAGCCTTCTTGCCCAGCCCTGCTAAATGCCCCCCCCCGCCACCTTCTCTCAGGCATTTGAACAGGTGCTTGGCATTTTGGTACTTCCTGACAAACCAAGACGATCCTCATGGCAGCAGAGGTCTCAGCCCTCCTTGGAGTAGACATACTCTCCCAGGGCCCTGAGACAGACTGCTGCCTCTGCTCAGCTGGGGCCCAAGGCCTTGCCCTGGGAATAAATACAGGGCTTAGACCAGCCCTTGTGGCCCTGAGAAGCCCCGCCACAGAATCCCTTTACGAGCTAAGCTTATTTTCCATGCATTTGCAGCCCTACCCCAGCTTCTTGGACCTGTGTCTCTAAGGGAGGTAGAACCTGGGACCCCCAGGTGAGTCTGATACGCACTGAAGTCTAAGGACCACCAGCCCGCAGGGGCATCAACCATCAGGACCAGCTCTGACATGAGATAATCTGGCCTCGTGCGGTGCACACAGTAGGTGTTCAATAAGTGATGAGCTCCTGCACATCTGCTGACAGTGACCGTGTGACTTCGGGCCTTGCAAACTCAAGGCCTCAAGCCACTTCCTTGCAAATGCTGCATATGTCCCCAGAGCTCGTGAAAATAGCCGCAAAGCGTTTACCTGGTGAGGGCCTGAGAGCCCCTCTTTCTCTGCAAGGGCCCCTTGAGAACTGAGCCCCGGCACTCCAGCTTGTACCGGCTCTTGTGCCCAGGAAAGGGGCAGGGGAGGCCGGGCAGACAGCAGTCGCCAGGATTGCCCCAGCGCCGGCACTGGCAGCAGCCCTGGCACCCTTCCCTACACGCCTCCTGGGTCCCAGCTCCGTGTTCCTCGGTTCCGAGTTCCCAGGCAGCCTAAGAGGAGGCACAGTCCTTGGCAGCTTCAACGCAAACAGCAGAGGATCTCGGCCGGCCAAGGGCAAGGCGTGGCCTGGAGAACGATTTCCAAAGGTGAGGCGACGCCAGAGCTCAGGACCATCGCTGTGGCTGAGAGTAAGGTGGGGCTGCTCCCCAGGGGGGGTAGGCCAGCAGCAACAGCATGCCTTTCTTTTTTTGAGAAAGCAGCTCTGGGACAACTTTCCTTCATTCAGGGAACATCTCTTGGGCTCCAGTGTGTCCCAAGGGGCTCCATACGTGGAGAAGGCGCTGACCAGCGAGGCAGACTGGCCCGAGAGCCGAGTTCCCTTTGGGGCTTTGAGCCCCGCCAGTACCGTACCCGGCTCTGAGGTTTGGGGCAGGTTCCTGAACGCTGCTCTCCTCCTATATAAAATGGGAAGATTATACCTTCCCAGGGTACAGACTAAGCCTGTTTCTCTCACCTCTGCGTGAGCCATCTCCCAGCACTGGGCCCTGCCTGCCATCCCCTGAGGTCAGGGCCTCCCCTGGGGACCCTCAACACCCGCTTTACTACTTAGACGGCTTTTTTCGAACCTGTAAAACAGGTAGGCTGATCTCATGAAGCAGCAGGTCGGCCTGGGCCCTGACCTATGAGGAGCCGTCGCCATACAGGAGCATGGAGAGAAATGGATCGCAAGGGCTGTTTGAGAAGGGCCTGAGAGGTTTCTCTCTGCACAATCCAGGCAGGACGCCAGACAAGGATGTGAGAGTCAGTCGGGGCCGAGGAGGCAGCATTTATGGCCATGTTGCCCGGGCGTGGCTGAGTCCTGCTCACCACTGGGTGGCAGGGGTGGCCGTGGGGTCAAAGAACGCTTCTTTGCAGCATCTCACTCCTCAGATTTTAACTTATTGTGTGACCTGAGACAAGCTCCTTCCCCTCTCTGGGGAACACCCCCAGAACAAGGGGGTTGGATGGTCCTGATGTCAGGGAGGCCCTGCCAGCTCCAGAGTTCTCACCTCCCATCATCAAGTTATGATGGGTTAGGTCCAAAGTCCTAACCCGGCATTCGAGTCCTCTGAGCACCGAGTGCTGTTCCACCTTTTCTGACCCGCAGCTGTTATCAGAAACCTGATGCATGAGCACAGCCCCCACCTGGTATCCCCATCTCGGTGCCTCCACCCCTGCAGTTCCCTGTGCCTGAACCACCTGAAACCCATCCCTAAATTTGCGGTTCAGACACCACCACCTCACACTAGAAGGCGTTCTTGATTCTTCAGCTCTGCAGGGCCCTGGAGAAGGACACATGCCAGGGCCTTGGCCCCTCCCCAACCAACTCATGAGAACCTGTAGGCAGGGGCAGGACACTCACAAAAACAAAATCACTGCCAAGTGACGAGGGCAGAGCTGTTCCAGACACGGCCTCCCAGCTCCCCACCCCCTAAGCTGGCAACAGAGAGCCTGCCTGGGCAGGAGACTCTCCGGGGTCAGACACAGCAGGCACAGTCCCCGAGGCAGGCCAGCGCCAGGCCTCTTTCCAAGAGGTGGTGGGAAGCATGGCTACTGTACCTTGACTGTGTCCAGAGGGTGGCCGACGATGACGCTGGCTGCACCTATGGATCAAAAGAGAACACCTGGTCACTCAGCCCTTGGACTCCTGCTTGCAGCAGCTGGCTCTTGGGACAGGACAGAGGGTCCGGCACAGGCATTCACTCATTCCGTCAGCGGTCGGTCACTGGGGGGGCCGCCAATGCATTAGGCACCGGCCCAGGCACCAAAAAAGGCAGAGAAAATGGAGTAAAATCTGGGATCTGCCTGAAGAAGCAAGCACCCCAGAAAGGAAGGTACTGGGACAACAGGATAGCCACAGGCAAAGGAATGGAGTTAGACCCCTGCCTTACACCATGCACAGAATTTACTCGAAATAGATGGAAGACCCAAATGAAAGAGCTAAAACTGTAAAACTCTCGGACTAAAACATAGGAACAGATCTTCACAAGCTGGGATTTGCAACGGACTCTTAGATATGACACCAAGCACACAAGCACAAAAGAGAGAATACATAATTTGGATGCATAAAAACTGAAAACTTCTGAGCATCAAAGGACAGTGAAGACAACGATTCCCTACAGAATGGGAGAAAATATGTGCAAACCGTATATTTGATAAGGGTCTAGTGTCCAGAATTTAGGAAAGAAAAGAAAAGAAAAGAAAAGAAAGAAAGAAAGAAAGAAAAAGAAAGAAAGAAAGAAAGAAAAGAAAGAAAGAAAAGAAAGAAAGAAAGAGAAAGCTCTTAACGACTACAATAAAATTTAATGGGCAAAGGACTTGAATAGACATCTCTCGGGAGAAGATGTACAAATGGCCAACAAGCACGTAAACAGATGCTCAACATGATTAGACATTAGGGAAATGCAAGTCAAAATCACAATGAGAGTCCTCTTCATACCCGCTAGGATGGCTAAAATAAAAAGAAAAAAAGGAAAGAAAAATAAGCATAGGCAAGGATGTGGAGAAATTAGAACTCTTGTATCTTGCTGGTGGAAACGTAAAATGATGCAGCCACTGTGGAAACAGTTTGGCAGCTCCTCACAAAGTTAAACACAGAATCACCACGTGGCCCTGCAATTCCACTCCTAGGTCTGTACCCAAGCACTGCAGACAGACACTCAGACGAGTACATGTACACGCACGTTCCTGGCAACATTGTTCACAGTAGCCAAAAGGTGGAAACCACCCCGATGTGCATCAGCTGAAGTACGGAGAAACAAAGTGTGCTGTCTTCATACAAAGGAATCCTGTTCAGTGAGAAGAGAAAAAGAAACAAACTACTGATACGTGTTGCAACACGGATGAACCTCAAAAACATTATGCTACATAAAAGAGGCCAGACACAAAAGGCAACACATTATATAATTCTATTTACATGAATTATCCAGCATAGGTAAATCCATAAAGACAGGAAGCAGGTTGGTGGTTGCCAGGGCTGGGAGGAGAGGTAGAGGGGAGTGACTGTTTAATGGGGACAGGATCTTTTTTGGTCATGAGGGAAATGTTTTGGAACTAAATAGAGGCGATGTTTGCACAGCATTGTGAATGTACTAAATGCCACTGAACTGTACACTTTAAAATGGTTAATTTTATATCATGTGAATTTCAACGCAAAAAAGGGGGTAGAGTATGTGTGGAGAGAAAATCGAGCGATTTTCAGTTACCTGAAAGTTACCAAACTTCCCTATGCCTCACTTTTAGCATGTGCAGAGAGGGAATAATACTAGCAGCTGCCTCACGGTTCCACTGTGGGAAGGAAATGAACGAATGAATGTAAGGTGACTCACAGGAGCCGGCCACTTACGGGATGCTTGGAAATGAATGCTGTGACTATAGAATTTTTTTTAAAAAGAAGACCCCTTTGGAAAGGTGATGAATAGGCTGTATCTTTTCACTGAAAAATGCCTACCCACACACATCCTCACAAGGCCTGTACAATTTAGAGGGAAGCAAGGCTTTCCCAAGGCCACCTAGATTAAGACACTCTTGCTGTAGAAGCTGGAAACTGAGACTGAAATAGGAGCTTCTTCTCAGACAAATCCCCAGCACGCTGATGGAGAAAGAAATGTCTCTGCTGGAAGTGATTGCACCAGGTATCTGGAATATTAGATATTAGAGAAACCAGCTAAATCCCAGAGCGATGGCTCCCTGAGTCCAGACCTCCTGTCCCCTCTTCACCCCCTCCTTCCGTGAACTGGCAGAGGCAGAGGTGACGGGCAACAGAAGCAGAGCCTTCCGCAGGCCCAAGGAAGCCTCCCTCTAAGGAACCCCTCCAGCAGGGAGGAAGGAGCTCTGGTCCCCAGGCAGAGCCGCAGCCTCAGATGCAGCCATGGGTCAACATCTCCCTGTTCAGCCATTTGCCCACCATCTGAAAGCAGGGGACGTGAGAATAAAAAAAAAAAAAAAGGGATTATCAGGTCAGTGGTTCCAGACCTCTGGACTTCATAGACCAGTAGAATCTCTAACTAGATGTGGAGGACGTCAACTGTAAAATCTTGCCGTGCAAGGGTGCTAGGAAAGAAAACAGCTATAGACGAGAACAGGAGTTGAGACGGCAGACCCTGGTGCCAGGTTGCCTGGGTTGGGATTCCAGTGCCTGTGCTAGACGCATGGCCTTAGGCAAGCCAGAGAATTTCTCTGTATCTCCATTTCCTCATCTGTAAAATGGGGATAAAACAGCACCTACCTCACTGGGGTCATTGTAATAATTACAGAAATATACATAAACAGACACAAGGGACCACATATTTCAGGATTCAATTGATGTAAAATATCCAGGAAAGGCAAATTTACAGAAAGGACATTAGTCGCTGTCCAGGGAGAGGGCAGGAGAGAGGGCTCAACTGTAAATGAGCATGTCTTACTGGGGGATGAAAATGTTCTAAAACTAATTTATGGTGATGGTTGTACCACTTCGTAAAGTTACTAAAAATCATTAAATTGTACATTTGAAATTAGTGCATTTCATGATATATACAATAAACCTCAATACAGTTGTTTTAAAAGAATACATATAGCACTTAAACAGCACCTGGCACCTACTAAGTATTCAGTGTCACTACACTTACCATCATTTCATGGAAGCAAAAAAAAAAAAAAAGGCATGTTAACAGCAACAAAGCAAGGACAATCTCAGAATATCAGAAGAAAGGACAGTTCCCTAGTCTCTATGCTATGTGAGCTGGGGAGGGTCCGTGAGTCATCACATTGGAGGGTGGGGGGGTCTCTATCTAGTCAGAGGCTTGGAGCTATTCTGACTCAGCCCTACCCTCCGGAGCATTTCTCAAACGAAGTCCTTGCAACCCTACTAAAGGAGGTCTGGTTACTTGAGGGGCAGCCCGGGGAGGGGTCTCCGCTTTCTGCCTGCCCCTCCAAGCGGTTGAAGGATTGTCCAGTCTAAGAGGGCCCGGTTATGCCCCGTGGGCCTCAGGCTGCTGCCCCTGAGTGGTAAAGTTAGGAGAGGAGGGTCTCCACCCAACCCAAGGGTGCCCGTGCCAACAGAATCGTCCACGGTAAAAGGGGCCATCTCTGCTCAGGAAGGTGCGGAGCAGGGGCCCTGCAGCCATTTGCGGGGAGAGAGAAGTGGGCTCCCGCCGGGTGAGAGGGGTGCCCTGGGATCCTATCTGATTTGCTGCTCTTTTCGTCTTTTCTCTGGGAAGAGGCTGCATTTGCCCCTCATAGACGGGACAAAAGAAAGATAATTTTTTTACAGTTAGCAAAGTCCCTTAAGCGCCCGGCCCCAGTAGCTGAGAGAGGAGGGATAGATCTGTTGGAAATGCAACTCTCGCCCACGCAACCCATTCCAGGCCCAGCAAAGAGAGGCCCCGGAGCGGTGGCGAAGGGACCAGCTGGCCCGACAGTGCCTTGGAGGAAGGCAAGGCTGAAGGGGACAGGAAGGGTTCGTTCCAGCTGTCAGTGGGCACCTGCAGCCGGCGCTCCCCTACGGCCTGATCCTGAAGCCGGGCTCCCCACTACCCCGCGTCCAGAGCCAGCCGCCGCCGAGCGCCAGCCTCATACACAAGTTCCCCGAGCCACGTCCCCAAATGCAGGTGCGCACCGCACCGTGTCGCCAAAGGGTGTGCGCACTGCGGGAGGCTCCATGGGCTGTGGGCTTGGCCGGGCTGTTTAATCATTACCGGATCGAGTTCCGCGGGTCCTAACTTTGAGGCAAGTCAGAAGCTGGGGCGAATGGCTGCGGAGCTCCCGGAGTTGAGCCGGGCGGCAGACGAGGAAGGGGAAGACCACCCGACAGAACTCGGCGAGGGCGCTGCCCGCAGCAGGCGGCGCTCGCGGGCGCGTGGCGGGAGCGCACGGGCGCAGGGCTGGGCGCCGGGTGCAAACTGCCCGCGCAGCGCCCGTCGGGGGTCCCGGCAAGACGCTCACCTCCGATCCAGCCCGCCGCGAAGTCCTCCAGCTGGAAGCTGCCCATGGCCGTGCCGCGCGGCGCCTCGCCCTCCCCGGGCCGCGGCGGGGCCCGCTCAGCGTCTGCGGGGCATGGCCGGGCGAGCGCGCCGCAGGTCCCACTCCGCGCCCAGCCCGCGAGCCACCGCGCTGCCTGCCGCGCTCGCCCTCCGCGCCGCGGCCGCCGGCAGCACGCCCCCAGCGGACCTTAAAGGCGCAGCGCCTGGCAGGACGAGGGCGTGTCCCGCAGCACATCCCGGGCGCTAAGAGGCAAGGGTCACCGGGTGGAATTCCCTTAGCCCTCCCTTCTCCCCCCATCCTCGCCCTTGCCACTTTCAGAGCCGGAGGAGAAAGTGCCAGCCACCCCTCCAGAGACGGCACTTGGTCCTGGGCAGCCATGTCCCACCCAGTGACTTGCGCCCAGAGCAAGCACCTCGGGTCCAGGGTCTTGTCTAACTTTCAGCTACAGCTACAGCTCGCCAGGGGCCGGCTCCCTGCCAGGCCCTGGCTCAGCCCGCTCTGTCCACCCTGGGCCACAGGATGGTCCTCTCTACTTCAGCCCCCTCTCTGTGGTCACACCCTGCACCCCCCCCCCGGCCCCCAGCTGGAGCTCCGCTCCCTGGGAGAGGAGGCCTTGCTGTGGGGAGGGGCTTTATTCCAATGGGAGCTTCTTGTCCCCCCACCGGCCCCCTCCCAGGGAAGATGACTTAATGTCCTCTGGCATCCCGCCAGTTTCCAGCAGGGACTCACCTGTGGGTCCCAGCCAAGACTCCCCGGGGGTGACAAGAATGGTGCGGGGGATGGTTGGAGGAAGGGGCCTCTGCTGGGCCTGTTCTTGTCATGTCATCAGGCTAACGTGCAGCAGCAGCCAGCCCAGCCTCCTTCTTCTAAAACAAGGCAGCGTCTGACCACCAAGCTTGATCCTAGAAGGGCCTTCCCACTGAGCAGTGGGGACTTGGAAATGAAAGGGGCCCTCCTGCCCCCCACCAGGTCCGCAGAGAGTGGACCTGTGTCCGGATGAGGGAGCCAGAGCCAGCCCTCTGAGGGCGGAGCCACAGGCCTGGCTGGGGGGAGTCCTGCAAAGTCCCATGGAGGGATGGACACGCCGCACCCCATTCCTGAGCCTCAGCTTCTGCTGCACGCTGTGACCCCCTCAGTCTTGGGGTTTCAGAGTTGCCATCAGCACGCCCCCCGAGCTGTGCCCTGCCATGCCCGGGATGCGTGCCTGGGACAGTTGTAAGAAAGAAATAGTCTCTGAAGGTGGCCCCTCAGTGAGTTCGCCGTCGAAGAGAACCCACCAGTGGGAAGCTTGCCGCTTCCCAAGGCCCAGTCTTCTGGAAGACCACCTGGCGAGTGCCAGGCAGATTGTCGTCCCCTCAGTCCTGTGTCAGCACCAATTAGGGAGGTCCTGAGTTGGCAGGCAGTGTCCCTGGCAGCCCCAGGATGGCCTGAGCCAGAAAGCTGCTGTTTGAACTGCTGATGAGCCGGAGCAGAGCTGAGGAGTGGGCCCCTTTCCAGAATGAACCACTGTGCGCCATTCCCAAATGTGTGCCACCAATCTGCCCAGGAGGCACAGTACCCGGGAGGCGCGGGAGGCCCTGAGGTTTAGCAGCAAGCATGGGCCAGGCCAGGAGAATCCCAGACCACAGAGCTGTGGGCCCCAGCACAGTGCTGGCTCTGAGCGTGGGTCCCGGCCTCCCGGCTGGGGAGCAGCATTGGTAGCTGCCACCCACATTTGGATTCTAACCGCGGGAGGGGAAGCCAGGCTGCTGACCACTACATGGGAAAGAGACTGCGCACAGAGAGACCGACTCCCTGGGTTACTAGGGCCAGAAAGAAACCCCATTTCTTCTCCCACCCCAGCTCCTTCCCTGAAGGTAACCCTGAGAGCACTTTCCAGGGCTTTTCCACTGTTCCCACTTTGCAGACGGGATATGCCGGCGGCATCGGATGACTAGGGGCCACTTCCCACTTCCCATTTCTCATTTGCTCTTTCAGGCAACAGAAGTTTCCTGAGCACCGAGTCTGTGCCAGTCCCTGCTTCTGGGAAAGTCTGTGTTAGGAGAGAATCTGTCTGAGATGCCACATGGAGGTGGCATTAGAGCACTGGAGAGGGAGTCCACTGTGCTCCAGGAAGAAGGGGGAGGCTCCCCGGACTTGGGGTCCCCTGCCTGCACTCTGAGTCTACCCAGCCCCGTGTTCCCACCTCCCCAACCACTCTCTTGGCCAAGCCCAGCGTCCCCTCCCCACGCCCACCCGCTGCACCTAGGCCGTGAAACCCTGGGCGCCGCTGAGCCTGACCTGCGGTGCTGAAGGCCCTGCCCTGGCTTTCCTCCCCGTCCTGCCGCTGATCGCCTGGTGCCCTGGCGCCTGGCTCCTGCCCATCCTTAGGAGCAGGTTCCTAATCTCACCCTCGCCCATCCGTGCCCCCCACATCTTCTGGGCCCAGAACCTTTTGTCTACTCAACATCTCGCCCCGACGGTCCCTTGTCGTCTCGTTACAACCCGGCAGGTCTCTTGATGAAGTCTGCCTAACTAACTCCCAGAGTGTTTCCCCGCAGAGCTTCTTCAGCTTAGAGACAGGTGTGTCCGCCCAGCCGGCCACCCAACCAGAACCGCAGACGTCGTCCTCGCTTCCCCACTCCAGGCCTCATCCCCTGAGCCGTGAAGTCCCGAGGCCCCATCTCCCCAGTGACCCTAACATCCGACCCTCTTGGTGTCTCCTGGCACAGCTCAGCCCAGGCCCGTGCCGTTGCCTGCCTGGGTCGTGGCGGGCAGAGGCCCCTGGGTCCCCTGCCCCAGTCCTGCGTCCACCCTCCAGCTGCAGCCACAGTGAGCTTCCGCAGCCTCGAATCTGCTCTGCTTATCGACCTCCAATGACTCCCACGGGCTGGCGCATAAATTCCAGTCCCGCCTTGCTGTGCAGAGGCCCGCGGGACTGGGTCTGGCCGACCACTCCTCAGCTGCCACCAGCCCAGCCCTCCCCTCAAGCCAGAGCCCCACCCAGGCCACGTCCCCTCCCCCCGCATCGTTTGCATGCATGACTGAGCACACGCTGTTCCCTTGCAGGGAATGCCCCCTCCCACTTCTCCCCCCCCCCAACCCCTGCACGCCACTCCTCTGACACTCAGCTCAGCTGTCACCTTGTCCTGACAGGCCTTCCCTGAAGCACTCATCACCCAACTCCATGCCGGATCTGCTGGCTCTCAATGGTGTTTCTGGAATATTCTGCACATATTCATATAGCTGCTGCCGCACTCGATTGTTTGTAGTTTGTCTTCCCATCTGGACTGTGGCCCACCAAGAACAGGGCACTGCCTTACTCTCCTCTGGACCTGCCTAGCCTGGCACAGGCCTGGTGGATGGTCCATGCTTACTTAGTTGGCTGGGCCTTAAACAGGAGGCCGAGGGACAAAGACTGAAGGGCCTGCTAGTGGCTGGCAGCCAAAAGGGAGTCCAGGGACAAAGTAGAGCTGAAGAGGCAGCCACATCTCTCCCAGGTGCAGGGCCTGGAGTATCACAGAAGCCTGGCTCCTCAAAGGTACCGGCTGATTTCCACCTCAGGGCCTTTGCACTGATCACTCCTGTTTGTGGCTGCCTCTCCTGGCCCTTCTCAAGGCCACCTGCTACCTCCTTCGGATCTATGCTGAAGCATCTTTGGTACAGGGAAGCCCCTTCAGACCCCTCAGTGGGGCCAGGACCCTCTGTCAAGGCATCCCCACCTCTCCTTCCAGCCCTCACCACGTTGCTCAGTGCTTGTGCAATGCTTGGTGGCTCCAAGAGGGGGGCCCATCTGACTTGTCCCCCACCACTGCATTCTTGGGCTCTGCCCCAGAGCATACGGATGGCACTTACTGATGACTGAGGGCAAATGACTGAAGGAGATGGGACCACACGCGTGTGTTGTCCTCCTTCTCTGGGCCTGTGTTCCTGCCGCACCATTCCCGCACTGGCCTCGCACGAGGGGGCTCTGAGGTCCCTCGCTGGCTCTGACGGGAAGCAGAAGGAGCACCGTGATTTCCAAGGTGTATGTGCCCTTCGGGAGCAGGATTTCTCCCCTTACTGACAGCGCTTTGCGAACGTGTGTCCAGAGCATGCCCAGACTGCATGTGGCCCATCGCCTGTTCACCGTGATGTCTGAAGTCAGGACACAGAGACGGAAGCGAGTGGCTGTGAAGTGGGGGGCGAAGCAGCTGCCAGGGAGGCGGGGCTGCCTGGGCTCTGGTCCCAGTGCTGCTGTCGACCCACTGGGCACCCTGGGAAAGTCCAGGCCCCAGTTTCCTCCGCTGACTTTCAGAAGGTGGGGATGGTCCCCTCTTAGGTGGTACCCAAAGAAGTCTGAAATTCTGGGCCACGGAGGCACCCGCTGTGGGTGTCTTGTCAAGATGTGCCAGAAGAGGGCGCTGCCGCACAGCACTTGGGGCTCTCAGGCGGAAAGATGAGCGTGGCTGCCACCCAGGACGGTGTCCCGGCCGTTCCCCCGCCACTGGCTGGCAGAGAGCCAGACACAGTATATACTTGGCCAATGAAAGATGCTGACCCAGGAGGCTCAGAGACGAGTCTGAGGGTGCCAGAGTGAACCTCTGAGAGGCATCTTGGGAGCTGTGAGCTTGGAGAGCAGAGTGCCCCAGTGAGGAGAGGGGACACTCCTGGTCTCTCCACCTGCCTGGACTTATCACAACTTCACACGTTCACATTCTTTTCCTCCTCGGGGCTCCAAGCTGGCACAGAGCTGTAGGCCCTATTCACACCATCTTACTGAATTCCGTGAGGCAAGTCCCTATTGTGCCGGTGAGAAGAACAAGGCTCAGAGAGGCTGAGCAATTTCTCCAAAGCCACACAGCTGGTAAGTGGAGGGTTATAGAGTCACACTTGCTGTTTGGCTCCAGGGCCCAAGCTCTCAACCACGTGCTGCCTCCTGGCCAAGACTCAGGAAGTGGAGTGACTTTCCCAAAGCCCTTGCCCCCCCACCCCTCTGTATAAATGTCCTAATTTCTCTGCCTCAGTTTCTCCACCACCAGTGAGATGGTATTAACATTGCCCAACTGTATCGTATTCTTAGGTCCCCTGGAGCGGATGACTCAGTAACCAGTAGAAAAATACCTTCGCCCCATACCACGCCAGTGCCCTGGGCTGCCTCTGTCCTTCCTTCCCAGACAGGGTCCTGCGGGCTGGGCTGGCTCTGTGGACATCGGAGAGCAGGGACTGCCTGGGTCTCCTCTGCCTTTTCTTCTCAGCTGATGGGCACAGTGGGGGCCAGACAGGTCAGGAGACCAGGCAGCCTGGGCTGGGGAGATCTGGAA